CCGAACCTGCTCACTTGGATCGATTAAGCTCAAGCGCAGATACTCATCAATAACCTTGCGGTAATCGGCGGTTCCTGGGCCCGACTCCAAGGCTTGTCTAACGTCGGTAATTGCATAATCAAGACCAGCCAAAAGCCGGTGTTCATGCCAACGAAGGTCCGTGGATTCGTCAGTGTCTCTGAGCTTCCACCTCAAGCAAACAACAGTTATCAACGTCACAAAAGCTTGTCCCGAGAGCCGGTCAAGGAATCGTGAGTTCCCTTGGCTCGGTCGTACCTTATCATGCAGGTATTGTGCATAGGGCACGCGGGGATCTGCCAAGAGCTGAAACAACATGTCATGTGCCAGATCAGTAGGCTTGGCAGGCAAACCGTTCCGGAAGAGGTATTCGAGTTTCCAGGCCGCCATCGTTACTTGGCCGTGTTGTATAAGCGATAGAGCGAAGAGCATCGTTTCTTGGACCTCTTGAGAAAGGTAGAAGTAATCAGGGACCGATTCTTTACCTTCTCGGACCATGGTGGGAAGAGGGAGCACCAGAGGAAGTGCAGATCCAAAATTCCAAATGGCCCTGTCGTCAAGGCTCTGCTCCTTTTGTCCATCCACTCCAATTCGAAGCAGCTCTCGTATGCACCGCGCAGATCCTGGCTCTCCATATGGCTGAGTCCTTTCAACCCAGATTCTTAGCCGTCTCATCAGCTTTTTTGCAGCCTGCTTTTGCTCCAGAGTGTACGCAGAACGAATGCAGCTCAGGGCAATGAACAGAAAGTGAGGACGACTAAACCATATACGCATTCTCATGGCATCATTGAGTGTGGAAGTCACGAAGAACAAAACATCAAAGGCATCAGAAAAGCATGTCATGTTGATAAGTAGCATACCCATGTGACTCAGCCCGTCGATAATAGACCAGTCGTTTGGTGCTGAGAGATGTATGTGCATAAAAAGTTGCTGGTAATCGAGATTCAAGCTCGATAATTCGTATGGAGGCATGTCAAACGTCGAATATATCGCTACTTCAGATTCCATGTCGAATATCTGAGCTCTGTCTGCGAGTGGGCTTTTGGTGGGCAAGACATAAGGGTCCTCGAAGGCTCTCAGGAGGGCTGTAAGGTCACCGATGCTTGGCACGCACAGAGCAGCATCCGGACCTGTTTCGTCCATGAGATTTGTTGAACTTTCACCAAGTAATCGAGATGCGTCGGCGTTCTCAGGCTGATTAGTTGTGTCTATCTCGATCTTCAACGATTCGAGTTGTTGTAAGGTGGCAACGGCCTCGAAATCCATAATTGCCCGGCGTTCAGACGGCAGAGCCTCTGTGTCCATGTCTGAAAATGACGCCTCGGCAGAGTTTTGATTGACAACTGGAGCAACTTGAGAGTCAAGTCTCGGGCCCTGATGAAGTTGCGCCCTGTCTTTGGTAATCCCCCATTTATTCAGCTGGGTGGTGATCTGACTCCGTGTGACGTGAATATGCATGGACTCGAGTCGTTTTAGGATCTCTGAGATGGGAACTCCTTGGAGGAGGAGCCCTGAGATCATTGGCTTCAGCCCTTCCCACCGTTCCTTGGAAAGGCTTGGATTCTTGGACGGAATATTCGGATGTTGCTGCTTGAACCGAAACTGCGCCGGATCTGCCATTGTTCTGGTCCGGCCTTTCTGGTGGTGAGGTCGGCGATGCTCGAAATAACAATGACTGTAGAATTCGATTGAAAGACAAACTCATGGAGGAAATCCATGGTCTATGAAGAGATGTTCAATAAGGCTGAGAAGGGCAGTGACTTCTTGCGGCTGGCAGGGGGTTTTGAGAATCGCCAAAACGGGTCTAGTTAGGGCGACAAGGTAGGACGAGGACGAGGACGAGGCAGCCAATCACCGCCGAGTATGCATGCCTCCCTCCATCACCGCCCCTTTACCTGCGACGCCTCTGAATGGATAAGTAGGTCTGAGCGCCAGGAGGCTGCATGGGCGGGAAGCATGGACTGGAGCTTCTCAATATGGACATTCTCAAACTCACGTGCGCCCCATATTCACGTGGTGGCAGGAGGGCGAAACCGGACTCCCGCATAGCAATTCTTGACTGATGTCTTGTGAGGGGAGGGGGTTGTCTACCTCGGTCTTCAGCTTGCATCCGCCGAAGCGTCTTCCGCATCCTCCTGCTCTGACTATATGAACTTGAGAAACGTATTGCCCGACTTTCTCGTTCGTCAGATCGACCCACGTACGGCACGAAGTGCGCTGTTTTGACTTTGGAATTACCGATTGCGCGATGGGGGTTCCTAGCTCCTTGAATAGACTGGGCCCAACCTAAAGATCCTCGATCCTGCAGCCTCGTCCCGCACCTGTTGCCAAACTCTACAAGGCCGAGCATAGATGACCTCACTAGACCTCTTTGGCTAGGCCCTATCTACACACAGTGGAGCGTCTGATGCTGATCTCCAGCAACCCCCAATCAATTCGCTAATGGCACCGGCAAGCTTGCCGACCACTTCGCAGCCCCTAAGCTGGGTGCGACAGTGCGACAAATTCGGCAACTGCGCGCGTGCCTCTGACCATGCATTCGATTTTCTCGTCGTTGTTTCGCACAGGTAGAGGTGGAATCCAAGTCTCTCACCGAAGTCGGCGTTAATTTTCTTTATGAGTGAGTCAGTCACCCGCAGCAATGTGCTTTCCCTCAATGACAAATCTCGATTTCGACTCTTGCGTATGACCTGTTTCTCTTCTACTTGGTGTGTTCTCTTTGGATCTGGGGCTCTTTTGCTCAAGTATTCTCACGCCTTAGACTGCCAGCGCTGCGTTTACCACACCGACTTACGCAGAAATGACATAAGAAACCCATGATCGGATCAGTCTGCGCACTGTTTCCCGCTAGACATAGGCGCCATGGAAGAACAAGACAGGCATCTAACCCAAACTGCCCCGAAGAACAACGACGTCATAAGCCGCGACGAAGACATAAGAGCCCATGAGGCGAAATCAGAGGCAATACCATCACTCCACGAACTGGAAATGGAGCAAAGATCAAACCTGGAGAAAGTCTCTTCAAAACTCCCGGATCAGGCGACAGATACCACGGCTGCGGACTTACAACCCAACCTGGAATCACAAAAGCAAGCCACCATCACCCCTCTTTCCGCAAGGAGAGGTCTCTTCCCGTCCCTGGCGATGATTTCCGAAGTTGATGACCCATATCTCTATCCTAAAGGCAGAAAGTGGTTCATCACGTTCGTGGTGGCCTTTGCCGCTGCGGCCACGTCACTTGGGAGTGCCATCATTTATCGTAAGTTATTTGATCTGAATTAGACTCGACTTCAGCCTGCTGACCCCTGCACAGCGGCTTTGGCTGATACAGGCCGAGACCTCCATGCCAGTCCAACCGTCACCAATCTCTCCGTCGCCCTCTACATGCTCAGCATATCCTTCTGTCCACTCTGGTGGTCAGCACTGAGCGAAACGGCCGGCCGTCGCACCACCTACCTCGTTTCCTTGTTTCTTTTCGTCCTTTTCGCAATTCTCTCTGCAACGGCCCGATCGATAGGTGTCTTCGTTGCTATGCGCATGTTTTCTGGTGGCGCCGGTGCATCGGTCCAAGCAGTGGGAGCGGGTACATTGGCGGACATATGGGAGCCTTTTGAGAGAGGTAAAGCGATGGGTCGTTTCTACATGGGACCGTTGTGCGGACCACTGCTCGCACCCATCATCGGCGGGTAAGTCTCACAGGATAAAAGATGACTAAAATCCCCTAGGACCTTCTTCTCTGATCTGTCAATCCGCAGCGATATACGTGCTGATGCCCTCGACAAGGTTCCTAGCTGCCCAATGGGGCTGGAGAAGCACCCAGTGGTTCTTGGTCATCTATGGAGGAATCAGCCTCGCTTTTCTTCTCTTCGCACTTCCCGAGACTGTCAGGAAGCGCGAGGACTCCAGTGAGGACGTTTCCCGCGAGGAAGATACCATGCCCTGCGCCTCCACAACCCGCTCCCGGACGAGACGAGTCCTTCGGCTGTCCTTGCAGGTACTTCTCGACCCATTGAAGATGGTTTTACTTCTGCGCCACCTTCCCATACTCTTCACAGCATATTGGGCATCGCTTGCCTTTGGCACCCTATATATTGTAAACATTTCGGTTCAAGATGTCTTCGCCAGGTCTCCCTACAACTTCTCCGTCTCCAAAGTCGGCCTGACCTACATACCTGCCGGTTTCGGGTTTTTGATCTCGGCCTTGTTCAGCGGCAGGTGGGCTGACTACGTCATGGCAAGGGAAGCAAAACAAAAAAACAGATATGATGAGAATGCCAAGCTAATCTTGCGCCCTGAGGATCGAATGATGGAGAACGCCTGGGTTGCTGCCGTTGCCTTCCCCATATCCATGCTTTGGTATGGCTGGAGCGCCGACAAGGGAGTATTCTGGGTCGTGCCGGTATGTGCTTCTCTCTCTTCTTCTGTCAACATTCTGTTCCCCCTTGCTTCTGCTTTAGTGAGAGCATGATCCTCCTGAAGTACATCTAACGAAGAGCTCACGCAGCTACTGGCCACCCTCATCTTCGGTCTTTCCGCAATGCTCATCTTTGGACTGGCCGTCACAATGCTGACGGAGTTTGTCCCCCACAAACCAAGCAATGGCGTCGCGGTCGCCAACTTCCTCCGGAATATCTTCTCCTGTATCGGCACCATCCTGGGAGACCCGCTGATCCGTGCTGAGGGAACCGGGTGGATGTTCACTGGTTTGGGAATCCTCGTGAGCACGGGCGCTCTGGTTATTTGGTGGATGAGGGTAAAGGGGCCCGCTTGGCGGCAGGCCAATGCAGGGAAGCTTGGCTGACCAAACGTCTTCTGTGCGAGCATTTTCAAGTCCAACGCAGATGTACCGAATTCTGTACAACATTGAACCTTAGAGGACTCCTAGATAGTAATAAACACCATTGTCTCTACCCCCCCCCCCCCGGTCTCTCCAGCTGATATCACCACACACCTTAACGGAGCAACTCGAGTCGGGATGATTATCATTCAGATAGTTTAGGGTGAGTGCTGGCAGCGGTTCTAGGTTTGGCATTCGATAGCAAACACCTCTGGAAGTGGCAGCACTGACTGCTACCTCAGCAAGAGGTTGCCCTGTAACGCACTGTATGATGAGGTGTAAATGGATAGTCACTTCCGCTTTGACATTGGCCTGTTCGAACACGGGCCCTTCAATCGGAGTGGAGGCTCCAGTCCGGGGCATATCTGGTGCGCCCTGTTGTGTCTTCCTAGTCTGGCCTTCACTCTTCATGTTGGCCATCAAGTTGTCGAAGAGCTTCAACACCCATGGCGCCGAGTCCCAGGCCTCACTGGCGTTGAGCCACACCATCTGGCAATTTGTGAGCGGAGAGTTGGGAAGCCACAGTCGGGCGGCTCTTGGTTTGCGCCCAGAACACTACCTCTGCAAGGAAGAGTCTGGAAAATGCTTCATGGGGCATGAGGAACTGTGCCCGTCTGCGGATGATCTTGTAGATCAGAGAGATAATCTTCTCTGCTGCCGAAATTGTAGAGAATGATGCACCATTGTCCAGCAAGTCTGTGGTTCCAGGCCGAAGAGCCGCCCGCTGAGGCGGGTGACCTAGGTTTGCGGGATGATGTTGTGATCACAGATCAGACAAAGACTCCATGCTAACGTATTTGTAGGTTTGAAGGTGCCGTCCCACTGTAGTTCTGAAGGAAATTCGTCTCGCCAGTCCTGCAACACGTTGTTTAATTGTCAGATTGAACTCGAATGCGTTGGAGCCGGGTCAAACCTCGTCGCGACGACCTGCCGTAGAATCAGACACAACCTCGACATTTGAATCTGATATGGGGCAAACGAGCCCTTCAGGGGGTGTTCGGCAAACTCCAAGCTCTGAAAATCTTGCTCAAAGTCGGCCATCGTGAGAGGCTCGTTGTCACAATGGCTCAGGTTGATCTTGAAAGGGCGCCCGACAAGGACAGAATTCATGATCGAACGACTAAGCCTGACGAGCACATGGAGTCGTTTGCCTTTTCGACATATGATGGTAGGCGTTCTGTACAGCGCAGACCATGCGGATAGCACACTAATCCCTCACAGACAACCTCACGGCTGGGGGGGGGGGGGGGGCACTTCTTAGAGAGAACTTTGGGCGAGGCGATATTGACGCGTACGCAGCACCCGCAAGAGCTACAGACCTATCAAATTTGCCGAGCACGTATATGGATGTTGGTCAAATAGATATCTTTCTCTATGAGGACATTGGCTATGCCAAACGATTATCTCAGGCAGGGCATGGTTGAGTTCCATCTGCATCCAGAATGCTGCCATTCATTCGAGAGGCTCGCCTCACGAACTTACGCGGATAGATGGACAGCAATGGCGAGTCTATGATTTATTGGTCCCCATCTGCAGAAATCTTTGTTGTTGATCTTGAAAGCAACGTGGCTTTAAACTGTCCTCGATAAATTGCAAGCTTGACGAACTGCCAAAGCACGATTCTCCAGCTAAACGAGAATCAAAATGCGTATCGGAAGAAAATGCCATATTTTTCCTTCCAATATCCATATCCACAACATTGCTGCCGCTGCCGTTATCATCGCCTTGAGTCTGAACCGTATAGATGGCGCCATACTTCTCGTCGAGTTTCTTGTTCTCGTAAACTAGGTAAAATCGCAAGACAAGCGCAAGGGCGGCCGAGAGGAACAAAAATACCGCGCACAAACGGTTTGCCCTTCCACATAGCATAGGCCTTCACAGGGTGAAAAATCTCTGGTCCCGAATAGAGGAGACGATTAGCCGACCAGGTTGAACCTGAAAATCCTGGAGGAGGAGATTAGCGATCGCTCACACCTGGGCTTTGAAAGCAACAATGTTTATGCTTCACCAGGTCTAGTCTAGTGTCTGTAGCTCGGTTGCGCATTATCCACGGGGAGTGTTCCCAACTGCGGGATACATCCAACAGCACAGTAGCATGTAAACCTTGTACGTGTCAGTATTTACAAAGTCAGATATCATACCTGGGAAGTTGGAGCTGTTCAATCCTTCATTCCCACCACAGTCCAGACTCGAAGAGAGTCGAGTCAGGTGGAAGACGCGGTGCAGCCCATTGCCACCAACCCAGGCCGGCAATCTAAAGACCGAGCCATCTGTTGCAGCCTTGGTATCCAATAGAAATACCACATACCTCCAGATGGAGGACGGCCGAGACTTTTCTAGGTTTATGGGGGCGCATTTCTTGGCCTTATGTATGGTAGGCAAACATGGAGCTAAAGCGGTGAGAAATCCTTTCGCAGAGTTAATTATTGGCATGGCTCCTCTGCGTGGTGGCCATTGTAAGTTGCCGAGTGGCGAGGGCCTTCATTGCGTGGAGAAGGTAGCCTCAGAGACTCTTGTTGAGAGGCTAGACAATGACTTCGCGAGTATTACCGTTGGTTTGTGCGACTCAAATGAAGCTCATTGTCAGTGAGTTCTCAAACGGTGGAGATTCATATCTTTATAGATCTTAGAAGACAAGCTGAAGCGATTGATGTCCTCCGCCACTCAATTCAGACAGTGCCGAATCTCCCAAAGGATGCGACGACACGGTCAGAAGATTGGCCGTCCCACTTGGTGCCGCTGATACAAGCAGAAGCAGATATGGGTCTGTGTTTGCTCTGAGAGCCCAGAGGCCATGTTAGGGAAAGGGTATTTAATCAAATCACCCCCAACCCTCATGCTGATGGAGAACAAGTGAGATGTATGCATGTTGCGACTCGAAGACAGACCGACAATCACCGCTAACCGTATGGTGGGTCTGTACAGGATTGAAATAGAGACATCTTTGTGAATGGTCTGGACTCCGGAGTCGTGGCAACGTGCAAGTGGTGAAGACCCTAGTGGCTCCATGATCCAGACCGATTGAACAAGAACGACATGCGGTGAGTCGGTGCCAAAATGAAAGATATATAATGTGGTCGAAGCCTCAACGGAATTGAGAAGTCTGAAAGCACATCCCGAAATCATCCCTTTCGTTCAGCCACTGAATCATCAGTCCGACGTATAGCTTTGCTTTCTCAACAAGACAAGATGTATATCAAAACCGTTGGTTTAGTTTTTCTCTCAGTTTTCGTATCAGGCAAGTCACATTCTTCTCATTGACGAAGACTCCATGTCTCGGTTCATGTGTTGATGATCGGTCCAGCCATTGTCGCCCTCCCAACTCCGAACGCCCTTCCCGCCGCTGATATCAGTCTCATCGCAGCAAGGGGGGCTGGGTCAAACACGACCACCCTCCAAACAGACTGCTGCTGCTTGGACGGGCGGTGCTGATCAAGATGGATAGTGGTAAAACATACGTTGTTTGAGGGGCCTGTGGCGACCTCCGAGAAATTGACAGCTCTGATTTGGCATTGGCCTCTTGCCAGGAAGAGAAGGGTGTACTAAAGCTTTGCCATGCTAAGTCAATGCACATGGCGGACATCTGATGAAGTTGAGACATGATTAAAGTTAGACTCATGAAGAGACGCTCGAGGAAATAGATAAAAATAACGTGAAGGACCTTCCCACTTATGTGCTGCCAGTGTGGACTACACAGGTACCTCGGTAACATTTTAAGTCGACACTGTCCTTAGGTCTCATATGTAGCTCATCGCCGTTATTTCGGGCCTCAGCCAATATTTGATAAAAGTACCCATTCTTGTCAAACAAGACGAGGGAGCCAGTGTTCTCTCGTAGATATCAATCCTAAGCCGCCTATATTAGCTGTTCATATGCACTTGCTTGGTCTTGTCCCTACAGAGTCCGCCGTTTCATTTCCAACCCGTTGTTTAACGATTTTCGTGCTCTAGAAGCGTTGCGAATGCAACCCTCCGATGCACACGTCCTTGTGCAGGGCTGCGTGAGATTCCATCCTCCTGAGTTATGAGACACTCACAATCCTTCAGAATCATTGTGTTTCCGGTGATAGGAGATTTGGCCTGGATTATTGAAAGATCAACTGGTCGACATTGGTCCTACACTAGGGTTATTCAGTGTGAGAGTAAATCCGGCGGAGATAAGTGGTTGAGACGTGGATGCACGGGATGCATGTAATACCCCGTGACAGACTTTTACAAAGTGATCCTCTACCTGCTTTAGGATCTCGGGAGATCCAAAGCCAGCTTTCTTCGGGTTGTAATGGAGTACGCCGTGATCTATCAGCGAGGCTGAATGAAATGGAAAAGTGGGTATTACCTTTTTGGGGCCGTTCTTCTCCATTGGGCACACTTGGCGCAGTAGCTTTCCAAAGCCAAACCATTTGCGGGCACCGGTCAGAGCATTCTTACATGTAAGAGCCGTTTAATTGACAATGGTCATGCAAGAGGTAGCTCTGACCACCGCGTAAGGAAAAGGGGTGATGTTCCCAGCCTGTTCCGAAGCAGGTAAATTAGCTTCTCAACTCCAGAAAGCTGTTCTCTCCTCGGTTCCACGGATTCACCTATGCATTATTCAGCGCGAGAGCTTCGTAGAGATTAAGCCATGTCTGGGATGTCAAGCTGCTTGATAACTGTAGTGGGGCGTTGGTGATCTGGATAGCTTTGCTTTCCCTAGCGAATCTCTTCGTAAACCCCAGACTTGGCTGAACGGTAATCAACATATACGTTGTACTCAAGAACCTTCAATCTTCTTCGTTGGCTATCAATTAGATTGCGGACCATGAAAGGCAAGACTGACCTAATCATGTCTCCTAGCCAAGGTAGACAGACCGACGTCCCATTCCCTGTCTTCTGTTTCTGTCTTTGTACGTAACCCCTAAAACAAAAATGATTCCGGCAGAAACACCGCCTGTCAGGCTCAACATGAGAACAAGTGTCTAGACCATACCTGGTGGTGTATTCCAGGTCGATGATGTCTCGAATATCCGAGTCCATCTTCAGCTCAAACATTTCTGCCAGCTCAACAAGGAAGAAGCTTTACGTCCGTAACCTACATCTCTCGCGCAACATACCGCAGCATTTATTCGGGAATAGGGCCGACTTGACATGAGGAGAAGGTAGGTGGGCTGACCGTCAAAGAAAAATTGCACTCGGGCAATTGAAATCGGGCTGTCTTTCACAGTCTTTCATGAAATGCAGGTGGGAGTCCAACTTAAGAAGTGGCAATGAGATCTTATGAGCTTCTTGTGGCTGTCGATTGGCCGGTTGAATGAACACATCACCAAAAACACCGATGTCGGGAGAAGACCACATTCCCACGTGGCTCAGAACTTCGACATTGCTCCTGTAGATGAGACACAATATCCAACTCCGAATCCAGTCTGTCCTTACTATATCGTCATCTTCTGAACCTCGTCACTCTCGAAAATATCCAGAGTCCCTGACTCTGATAGGATGGCTATTAACACGGCATGAGTTCAGTTACGCAGTGAGAGTACAAAATCACACACACCGGACACTTCTCGACCTAAGAATGGTTACGTGATTGAGCTGTACGGAGTAAATGCTTGTTCTTTGGATGTATCTAGGAAGAGGACTACAGATTTACGATGTAGACAACGCCGCTTTACCCTAATAGCCCAAAGAGGTTGCCCAGCCCTTAAAGCGGCGAACTGCCAAAACGCGTCAAACTGCGTCCTTCTACGCGTTAGACATGGGCGTATTTTGCCCACCCACCACTACTGGATGAGAGTCCACGAATATCCCACGATGCCATCAAACATGCCACGATGCCACCCTCAGAGCCACTGAATCCGTTCTCTATAGAGCACTTCAATGACTCAATCCCTGTACCCCTGCCCTCTGAGGAAATTTGGGACGGATTTGAATTCCATCAACATCTCGAAAGCCAACTCCTTCGGTTAGATGATTCTGTGCTGGGACCTCTCCCCACTCTCAAATCAGATGTTTTCCAGCTGAAATTGGAGGATGTGGCTCTCCAGGACCTGTCACAATCGTCGTCTGCGGACACATCCGACTCCGAAAATGACCAGTTCGAGAGCCTAGATGGCGACAGCGTGCAAGAAGAATGGGGCGATATTTGGATCTTGCCAGATATTCAGAAGAGAAAGAGAAAGGAAAATCTACTCAGCTGGGACAAGTTTCAGAATGAAAATCATCAGGAGCCAGCATCAGCATATCTCAGCGAGACTGATCCTAGAGTATTTAACTCCATCCTCGAGGCAACCCATCAGAGTCCTGCAAGATATGTTAAATCAGACATCCTTCTAAACGCTTTCTTTGAACTGTGCATGGGGCGAAATTCTGTCCTTTTCAGCTGGGAGGAGAAAGATTGTATATTCGTGGCCAAATGGCAGGTTCTTTCGGCGCGTGGATACAGTTCGACCTTGGTGGAGAATTGCTTCGACGTCTTTTCGAGAATCGGGAAAGACACCAGATACCTTATGAGCTCTTTCCGAGCGTTGGACAACAACTCTTCGAACCTGTCATCCGCTAAAGTAACTTTCCTGTCCGCCTCCAGGTCTGTACTCTTTTCCATCCACAGATACCTCATCGAATCGAGATCAAATATTGCGTCATTGCTCCAGTTGAAGGGCATTATGGGAAAGGTCGGGTTAGTTGTCGATATGCTGAAAGAATGTGTCGGCGCTGTACAGGCCGATCCAGTGGAAGATATGATCATCCTTACCTTGATACAAAAAGCCGCTGGACCATCACTTGATCACCCTGGGCTAGCAGGACTCATGGAAATGCTACTCTCACGGACATGCCGGCCGATGCTAGCTCTTCTGAGCCAACAGATTGGACTTAGCTCTGCACAGCACGGGAATCCCAGAGTCTCCTTCGCAGGAATTTCGCCCCTCCATAATTCAGCGTGGGAATTACTGGTTGACTCGAAGCTCTCGCGTACGATATCCGAGGCTCAGAAGAGCCTAGAGATATTGAGCAGTCACTCACCAACCAGTTCTATCTTTTCCGCCACTGTACTCGAGTCTTCACCATTAAAGGAACTCGAGGCTGGGTTCACACTGCCAATCATTTCAGAACTTCAAGCGCGGGCTGTTGCATATGAGGAGGCGATGAGATCGTTAATAGTCTCAGCGGAATCCTCGACATCTACAAGTTCCCTTGACACGCCTGCCTCTGAAAGCTTCGACCTGGAGGGCCCTGTTAGCGTGCAAGCGGACACTGTCTGTGCGTTTCGGCCACAAATGGACATCTTCAACAACAGTGCGCACCCTTTGGAAGAGAGGGAATACGACGAACTCGAAGATCAGGTCCTTATGTACCTTGAGGGACAAGAGTTCGGAGACTCGCCTCTGCAACTGGACCTCGTCCCCTCCTTCAATCTATCCATCACACCCCTCGTCTCCGCTCAACACAGGTTGCTCTCTTACTCTGTGTTGCAGCTGCTCTTCCAACAACACAATCTTCTCGGCCATCTCAATTTGCAGAGAGATCTCCATCTGCTAAGAAATGCGTTCTTCTCGTCTCGTCTCAGCATAGCTCTGTTTGACCCGGATCAGAACAGTGGGGAAGGTTACAGAAGAACAACTGCCATCACTGGCCTTCGGTTGCATGTTCGAGACACGTGGCCACCTGCGGGCTCAGAGTTAAGATTGGTGCTCATGAGCATCCTATCAGACAGCCTCAATCTAGCAGATCGCACATTGGACGATTCCATGTCCTTTGCGATTCGGGATCTGCCTCTTGCTGAGCTCGAAAAGTGTCGAGACGCGGATTCAATCCACGCACTCGACTTCCTTCGACTTCATTATACGGCACCCAGTGAAATATTAGGGGCAGTCATCACGCCGGAAATACTGGACAAATATGACCGAATGTTCCAGCATCTTCTGCGGATGCTGCGAATGCAAGCAGTATCACAAAGCATGCTAAGAGAGGCTTTTCGGCATCAGTCGGAGAAGCCGCCTAGGAGCGGTCTCTCAGATCACAAAACTGTTGTCATGATGCATCATTTCACCTCGAGTGTTGCTGATTATTACCACAACACTGCCATTGAGCTGAACTGGAAGAAGTTCGAGACAGTCCTCTATACTGCAAAGGAACATCTCAACAACAGGGACTATGGTCAGACCTTGTTTATCGTACGGAGTTTGGACCACCTCCGTGTATTGCATGAGCGAACATTGAACAATATCCTCGGTGCCCTCCTGCTAAAACGGAACCAAGCTAGGTTGAGGCAAATACTGGAAGACATATATGGTGTGATACTTCGATTCGCAGCTAAACGACGCAAGAACGTCGATAGGGACCCCGAATCAGTGGGCACCCAAGGCGATGCCAGCGGTAGTACCACCAATGAGACCACGATGAAACGACTGCAAAAGGAATTTACAAGCAAAATTACGCTTTTCATTGACCTATTGCGCTCACAAGCGCAATCAGTCGAAAAGATGCCGGGGAAGAGATTACCTGATGAATTGGACGATGACGATGACGACGACGCGGATGTCAACATGTTCGAATACCTGCTGTTGAAATTGGATATGTTCGGTTACTGGACGTCGTAGACGGCATAGATATAGAGACACGGATTGTGATGTCCAACTTGGAATGCCAATGAGGAGGGGACGGAGTGATTGTGACCAGGCGGTGCTCTGGCCCTTGCATTTGCTGTAATGAACATGATACCCAGGGCAAGATCCCATCTGGGAGAATACCCAAAGATGCGGAAACTCAAAAACCTCGCTGCGTAAATGCGCCACGTCCCTTGCTCCGTTATGCAATGGTCTCTAGTCCCCTTTTTCAATGCTTCGTCTCTCCCCAGGTGTCTCAGAATATCCTCCCAAAAAGCGCCGTTGATACTTTAACGGCCAACCACCCTGCGCCAACCAGAACACCCGTCGCAGCGAGGAGTGTATTCAGATTCCTCCTCTCAATGCCCACCTCGCCGGCCCTCTTCTCGTCGTCCTCGCCCTTCGCTGTCCCCAGGCCAAACTCGGGCACATATTTGAATTCAAAGACGGTCTGCTCGCCCCCCAGGCCGTGCTTGCCCTCGACGATCACGGCCCAGAAGACCTTCCGGAGCGTCTCGATCTTGCGCCGGTCCAGCGCCGGGATGGCGCGGTACGTGTAGCACAGGCACGCGAAGAAGATGCACTGGCCGGCCATCAGGGCCCAGTACCAGGCGCCGGGCCGGCCCAGGCCCAGGGCGTCGGCGAGTTCGTTGCCGTTGAGCCAGCGGGCGTTGACCTCGAGGAAGCTGCGGCTCGCGAACGTGGGCGGCTGGTTCTCGAGGCAGCGGACGATGTTGTTGGCGAGCACCTGGCTCGTGTTGGACGGGTTGATCTCGTTCAGCAGCAGGCTCTCCATCATGCACTTGGCCCGCTCGGGCGTCTCGAAGTAGTCCGTCGGCGTGCCGACGTAGTGCGCGATGAGGCGCCACAGCGCGATGTAGTCCTCGGTTTCTTGCCTGCGCAGGAAGATCCCCTGGCGAGGCAGGGAGAGGTAGATGATGGTGGCCGAGAAGGTGCCGATGGTGGCGATGCAGTCGAGGTCGTTGATGGGGATCCCATACTTCTCGACGCTGTAGTAGCTCGGCCGGGTCTTGGACAGCTGCATGATCCGCTGCCGCACGGCCGCGTGGAGCAGACGCACTCGCACGGAACTTGCAAAGCCCGCGCCGCCCGGCTGGATGCTCTCGAGAGACCGCGTGCACTCGAGGATGTGCTGCGTCGTCTCGAACAGCCGGTGCCGCGCCACCTTGACCGAGAATCCGCCCGTGCGGGCGAGGACTTCGACCACGCGGTTGGCGCCCATGCCCCCGAGGAGCGATTGGTACGCGAGCCCTGTGAGTGTGGCAGCACCATAGCGGTAGAAGACGTCCTGTCCGCGGCAGATCTGGGCCCAGTCGACCCAGCTGGGGACAGTGGTGACTTCGTCCCAGAGTTCTTGAAGCTTAGGATGTGCGGCGTGGTGGTCCCGGAGAAGGAGGTAGAGATCGCGTTTCGATCTCGGAGATGGTGTCGGCGGTCGATTCGTATCAGCGGAGCCGTTTATAGTCGAATTTGACTGGTGTAAATGGTTTGCCACGCTCTCTGATCGAGCATCGTCCCTCTTCTGTAGCTTTGCTTCGTCTGCAGGGCTGCTGTCCTTCTGACATAAGATCTCGTAGCATTCTTCTCCAAGAACATCATAACTGTGTTTCAAAGGATGAGCCTGTTCAGGAGTAAGATGGCTAGGCGTCAACTGGAAGGTATATCCCCAGGCCGTGCGTGTGTTCTCATCTCGCCGCCGAAATGGATTCGGCCAGGCCATATTGCTATCGGACCGGTGGAGGAAGTCTTGGGACAGGTGGCATACAAACAACGGGGGAACAAATGAGAGACTTGAAAGACGATAGGAGTGTACTCTATGTTCCTCGACGAGGTCTAGACTTTCGTTCGAATCTTGATGTCAGTCATTGATCCGATGATCATTTTTGACGAGTCAAGATCTCGCTTATCTGCGGCATCTTTAGTCATGCAGCGTGATGGATCTTTGGGAAATTTGGCCCAGGTTTTTCGTTGCTGCAGGTGAACACCGTCCTTGAACTCGATCCAAACTACCTTCTGTGCCTACCTCATTAACATCTTGAGTCTGGGGACGCAACTGTGAGGGCGGGAGATCGTTGGGAAGAGAAAATATCCCTCAACATGCAGACGAGCAACAGGCTGCTGCGGACAGTCAAGACCATCTCAAGACACCCCCCGTGTGCATTATCTCGCCGTGCACATACCATGGCGTCCTCTCCACTACGGCAACCGCAAGATCCATTCACATCGTTGTTGAAGCCTACCACGCGACCGACATCCGCTACCCTGACGACGTCTATGTCCCGAGATTGCAACGTCCACAAGAGGCGGAAATACTCCTCCGAATCACGCGCGGCCGCGCCAGTCGCCCACAGACTCTGGGACGGACAGGCACCAACGAGAGGGAAGGATAGACCGCAATACAGTGAAACAAGATCGGTCGGTGGATATGACCGCAGGAGTGACAGGGAGGGGCAGTACGAGGACGAAGGGATGGTCGTGATCTCGTCCAAGGCTCAGTTTCGAGACAGACATGGACGTCCTTGGTCCAAATCTTCCGACGAGAGAAATCTCGACGCAAATTTGGGTGTGGGTATTGGTGCTGCTTCAAGGCCTAGAAAATCGCGCCTAGAGCTGCGAGACTTGACCGTGAAGCAGCGGAAGAAGTTAGAGCCATGGCAGGCCCAAAAGGCTACCCTCTCAAAGAAATTTGGTGATGAAGGATGGAACCCACGGAAGAAGCTCTCTCCTGACGCGATGGATGGGATCCGCGCTCTGCACGAAGAAGATCCCGATCGTTGGTCCACCCCCCTTCTCGCAGAACATTTTCAAGTGTCTCCAGAGGCAATACGGAGAATACTGAAGAGCAAATGGCGGCCGAGGGACGAGGAGGAGATCCAGAAAAGGAGGGAAAGATGGGCAAAGCGACACGATCGGATCTGGGACCATCAGGCAGAACTAGGGCTGCGGCCAAAGCGGATGAAGGACAGGGAGGTGGAGGATCCTGATGCCTTTGACGAGGAACTGAGAGCAAAGGAGGTGCTGGAGAATGCACGGAAAGCTTGATTTCAGCTGTTTGGTTCCGGCTGATTCCATTGATGCTAATGCTAAAGCTATTGACTGTATTTGAGTGTGTGCCTGACGAGGCGAGTGTGCATGAGCAAGCTCTGGCCGTCCTGGGCTCCTGTGACTGATGATGATATCAAAGGAAGAGAGAGAGAGAAAAGAGAAGGACAAGGGAAAGCTCTCCGTCTGTTGTCTGTCTGCCGATGCGCTCCTGGCAGAAACCTTCACCTTCAACATCACAGTGACCGATGATCAAGTGATGACAAACAGGATATTCCTTGAGCTCTTGTGTTATATCCCATGTGCGAATTCTGCTTGGTGTCAATCCTTCTGTTCCTGTCGCGATTTGAGGTGTGCTGATACTGATGGCTATGCGTTCTGTTCTGTAAGGCGCGGTCAGAAAGGGGCTGCGATGCCAAGTGTTGATGCCAGACTCACTAGGTTCCTCTTTTGGTCGTCAACTTCAGTTTCCTACCGAATCTTTCCATCGACTCACCCATCACCCATCGATCACGTGTCGTCTTACATCCGCCACATAACGACGAGGACAGTGGCCATCCAAGCAACACCGAGGACGTGAGGCACAGCTAGCCACTAACTAGCTGCGGTCCATTTGATGCTCGTGTACTTCGGTATTGGCTTCCACAGTCCGGTCTTGTCGTCATACACCATGCTGTCACGACGCTCTGGCATCGTTGGTGGCCAGATGGCATAAACAACAGGTGTGAGGTACAGCGGAATCGTCTCAATGACGGCAAGCCCAGGAAAGCCAACCGAAGCGATGAACCGAAGCCAAAAAGCCTTGTCAGCGATGAACTTGCCGTCGACGATCGATGCCTTAATCTCAGCCTGGACTCTGAAGATGACCACAATAGACATGACAAAGAAGAGGACAACATGCCACAAGATGCCTTCACGACGATGGAGAGCCCAGAGTCTCGTGGAAAGAGGTGGACGACTGTTGACATCTCGTTCTTTGATGGAGGATCCTCCAACACCGCTCACTTTGAACCCGAGCCGAAGACCTCCCAGCTGCTTTGGGAGCAAGGTTTGAAGAACATCACGGGAGAAGTGGTGACCCATCCAGACTCCAGTTGCAGTGCGACGACGGACACTCAGGTAGTATTTACCAAAGATCGACTCGATATCTCCAATGAGTGCCAGTATACGAATGATCCCGAGGAACATCACAGCCCAATACAGCGCATTGCGAGTTGGAGTGGCAATGACGGGCCGACCGCGATAAAGACAAACAAAGGCAACAATGGAGTTTCCAAGCTTGGTCAATGTCATCAAGTAAGGTCGGCAGCTATGGTGGAGCATTGCCATGCGTTGAAGCCGCGACGCTTCCTTAAGGCGGTAGTCAGACAAGGTGAAGTTCATCTTTAGAGCGTCACGGATATGTCCAGTCCACTGTCACTAAGTCAGCCATCAACGGACTTTACAAAGGCCAAGTTCACGCTCACCCAGCGACGACGTTGCTTCAGATGGGTCAGGATGCAATCTGGTTGCAATCCCCATTGCAAAACCTCGTGGATCAAGAGGATCTTCCAGCCTTTGCCATGAAGGAACCAGCTGGTGATGAGATCTTCTGTGATGGAGAACTCCGGGAAGCCACCAATTTCCGTCCAAGCTGCCTTGCGCATGACAAAACCGCTGCCGGGGCACCAGGCGACGTTGACTGAGTCCCGAAGTCCATCATCCGCACCAGTCCCAGTCATGTTCGCTTGGTTCAGGGGGTCATCGTTCGGGATATTATAGTGGTGCTGTCGCTGTCAGTACACTGGAAAACAAATGAAAAGACGGTATCGTACTTGAGCGGCAGTGACCATCCCGACATTGACATCTCTAAGAGCGTGTGGGACAAGGGCTCGCAGGAACTGAGGTTCAGGCATCATGTCGGCATCGAAGACCGCCAGGAAATCATTCTGCCCTCCAGGAAGGTCGATGACAAACTCACGCATGGTCTGGTTGAGATTTCCGGCCTTGTATCCGTGGTTGTTATCACTAGGCTTCTTGCGGGCATGGTAATAGAGGTTCTGATATCTGCCGTGCAGTTTCTCGACTTGAAGGCGAAGGCTTTCCACGTTCCCATCATCGGCCACGATCACTCTGAATTTGTCCTCGGGCCAGTCAAGCTTGCAGATGGCTTTGACGGTGTCCAAGACGACATCATCTGGCTCACCACAGCAAACGACAACGACATCGACTCCCGGAACATTGTTACCAAGGATGCGAAGTGTCGGTCGTGGTTTGGAATTACGCACAAGTCCGACCACGATACGCCAGGCTCCGTCTAGGATTGATGATACTATGACAGCATTAGCCGATGTCGACAAGGAGAGAGCGACTACTACACTTACTGTTGTCATAGAACTGCCCAAGGAAGAAGAGGTAAGCAGCCTTGGGAAACCCCTGACCTTGCCAATATGTCTGAAGGACGTTAAGGAAGAGCACTCCTAAGTACGCGGAGATGCTGATGATGTTGATCCCGGTAAGGGCGATAGAGAAGATAGAGGATCGATGCGGCTCCTTCTTTTCGACCTCCACAATGCGGTATGGTGCCCGGACCCTGGCATTGCCTGGGTTTTCGCCGTCATTGTGAGTCTGGATGGTGACGGCTCGGTGACGAACACCTGAGTCGTCCTCAGCAATGGAAACAAGATGGTCGCCAGCCATTGTGAAGACTGCTCAGGCTTTGGCAGAAGGTCTCGAGGTGGAGGGTGGCAATGAAGTTTGTAACAGGGCCAGGGTGGATGATGTGCGAGGGAACGAATGTGAAGTGTCGACACAGTTCAGCGCAGCCAGCGCCGCAGGCTGCCTCCAGAGACAGCTTTTCACGGAGGCTACAGGACGTTGAAGACACACAATGTTTGCAACCGTTGAGATCTGATGAAAGATGATTGAAGAAAGGAGGGTGATGATGACGGAGATGACGAAGGGGAGGGGGGAAGAGAGAAGAGAGAGAGAAAGAGTCTTCACTGCCAGAGCCGCCAGTCCCAAGTTGGAAGGGGTGCCGGACTGCCTGCGCTCTGGTCTCTGTTCTCTGCGCTCTTCCTTTTCAAGAGAGGGCGCAGGCTATGCTTTGGTGTCAGGCTTTCTGTTCTCCCTGGCGTCTTCTGGACAGGCAGGTGGTGAGTTAGCTCGGGAGGCCGGCAGCTTTGTGTTGGCTATCTGCTTTCAATGGCTCAGCCGATGAGATTGTCTGGCACAATGGTGCTGACTGCAACAGGAACCGCCATGTCTATCACAGACACTGATGACCTTGTCACACCTCGAATTTCATTTCCACAATGGCTGTGGGCTCTGTCAACGCACAGATCTTCCAGCCACCGCACCAGTCCTATAGATCAATGATGAGATCCATAGCCAACCAATCCAACCTCTTGACAGACATTCATCCGTTCTCTACCGTTGAACCTTTGTCTACTTTCAATTCCTCTTACCCATTTCGACATTCCTTTGTCCACACTCGTGCTTTCTTAGACAGCGCCTTTTGCAGACGCCAATATGCAAGATTGAAATCCTTCTCCGCGTTGTCCTTCTCAACCACTCAGACAGCACCAGCACCCATCACTTCCCAAGAGTACACCAACACTCTTCTTTCCAGAAGGAGAAGCCGGCACCACAACACTGGCCAGTACTGCATCTGACTGGACCGCGCAACTTTGATCCTCGACGCGTCACTCACAACGGAGGAAGGAAAAACGTCTTCTGAGAAAGGGAAAATGATTCGTCTCACAACCGTTGACATTCTGACAATGGAAAAGAGCCCAGATACTGTTGGGTCCTCAAGGCAGATGGGTTCAGCATTGCAATGACGAGCTAGGATAGCCATCATGCAGTAATACCACAAGTCAAGAACTTTCCAGATCGGCGCTTCGAAGGGTTTTGCTATTTCAGAAAACAGTCGAACATGAGCTTGAAAACCATGTCGTTCACGACATTCGAAACTCAACGAAATTCGACGTCGCCCGATGATTTGAAATGACGTAAAAGGCTCGGGACGCAAGATAATACTCAATGATGGTGGAAAAGAGACGAACCGTCCATAAACACCGGTCAGCCCTGCTCCAACTCTGCGGCCTTTTTGAAGACAATAACTTCAAAGGCCTCGCCAGGTCTTCATCCAAACAGTGCCATATTTTCGCTTCGAAGGGACTCACACACAGCGGTATGCAAAAGGAGCACTCAGAGTTCCGTGATCCATGAATCCTTCGACAACATACAACAGTCACACCGATTGCAATGTCCATTGCGTTCTGAAAGACAGCTGTTGTTGCCACGATCATCTTGACCTTGGCATGTTTGACTACAAGCTAAGCTTCTGCAACAAAGGGTGCATGTCTGCTCTGAGCTCTCTCCTTGCACGACAACAGCACGTCTTTGAAACTTCCTATCATGAGGAACCTTGCCGGCGCACAACGTAGACCACCCCTTTGTGGGGAGAGCCTTGTCCGAATAGAGTTCAGATTTCCTGCTGCAGACCCGCCTGATAGCAAACATGCCGAGCCGTAGCCTTGTCTCGGCGCGTTTGTAGCAGGACGAAAGATTGACAATTGAACTTTTGGTTCCTTGCGCAGCAAGCAGCTGGTGTGTATTGGCAGGCTAGCTAGCGGCGGTATTTCCTGAACAGACTGCGGAGCTTCCTCTCTTTTGCTTGTTCTACTTTACTTTATCCATTGCGCCTCTTCTTAAGGTTGGATGAGAGCTTCGATAGTTGCATCAAAATGGTGAATGTTCTGAAGCGCATGCGCGGTCTTCAACCTGTGAGTGTTTTCTTCGGTCCTGGAGAGGAGTTGCTGACGTTTTCTAGAAAGTAAGTATCTCCAACATTCGACAAAGCGAGTGCGCGCTCATCCTTTCAGCTGTTCAAAGTCCGGCATGGCGAAGGCGCAGCCATTCTGCCTCCTCCACCTTCCCCCCAATTGACGCGGCTGAGCCTACAATATGATCGAAAGCAATGGAACAAAAGCACGAGACCCGCGAGGATATTTCACAAAGACCACCTGCCACGGCTGAAATACCACAACCCAGGTCTGCCAATCAGAGTAGAACAGGGGCCCAGCCGGCTCCGATTGACTTTTGAGAGTGCCGACCAGCAAGCGTTAAGGGTGCTGGAAGGGACCTCGTTAGAAACGAGCAACGACGGCGAATATCGAGAAACGTGGACTGCGATCGAGACGAAATCCCAAGGTTCCGACGAGACAGCCACCAGTACATCACCGTCCTCGTCGTCAACCTCTCCCGCGACATCGATTTTCAGCAGGAGCGTGGAACTACGTTTAGGGCCGCACCAACCAGGGAGCATATGGAAGTGGTTCCAGAACACAACAAAATGCGAAGATTTCCCCGAGGACCCCGAAGAAAATGAACAAATGGAGAGACTAAAGGAATTCTTCGCAAAGGCAGAGGAAGACAGGCAGCGCGTCAAAGCCGGCATGGATGCGATCAGGAAACAAAAGGAGGATTTGAAAAGAGCGAGAGAAGCTGCCGAGAGAATGGCCAACGAGGCATAAACGCCCGGCATGTCACTATTGGACTTATGTACATTACCCAACACACTGTACACCATTCTGCTGTTCTGGAAGTGGTTTCAGCTACAGCTTTCTCCCAATTGGTTCCGAAATCCTACATGACTCCTGGATCGCCCTCAAACTCTTCACTGCCGCCGCTCTCTGCAGGTTCAAACTCGTATGGCGAGTCAGTATCTCACAGTAACCGGCTCGTTGGTTGGGGATCAAACAGCCGTGTGATGGGGTTTCGTGAAATCGACGTTCTTTGAAACTCGATTGTTCACAGCCACCGTTCTGTGAGTCAGCCTCCTAATGCCTCGTCTCTGTCATTTGCGGGCATCCGAAGTGTCTACTTTCTCTCGGTCAGCTATTTAAGATGGGCATTTCCTCAATCCTTGTATCCCTCCCTCTGCTCTCTTTCTCTATTGAACATATTCTCCGTGTGGTTCAGCATGGTGCGCAAGAACTCAAAACATCCCCGACCATTCTTAGAAGAAGCAGGCCCATTCAGCCAGCCAGAACTCCACGCAGCGTCTGATTCGCCCCAATCGCTTGACAGTGAGCCTGTATCCTCACGGACAGGATCTCCATCTCCTTACATTTCAGAAGATATTAGGCAGGCTCCGCAGCAGAAGCCCGACAGTGCTATTCCGGCTCAGTCTGGTGCTAGGTCTCCCTCTAAGGCTATTCCAGCATCCGCAGAGCGAGCACAGCGAATCCAAAGAGAACAGATCAGCCACCAGGTTCACCGAACTCTTGACCTAATAAGCATGGTCTGCTGGGGCGACGTGGAGACCGCAGTGACCGTGTTGCGCCGCTCATACCTCCTTGCGCTCGACAGGATCGACCGTGGCGATCGGAGCGTCCTTCTTTTCCGTCCCAGCGATCCCGATTTTGTACTTTGGGATAACAGACACACTAGTTTTGCCGAAGACTATGAGGACTGGGTGCTTCCATTACGCCACCACAATGTCGGGGCACATTCGCTGAGACGTGGGCTCCGACCTAGACGCTGTCCCGGTGGAAGTCGCGTGCTGAGCAACGGTCGAGACTTCGATTTCGACGAGAGGGCTATTGTCGTTAGGCTCTATGGCGGTCAGTCCACATCGCGACCCGAAGGTCATCAATGCGGTCAGTCAAGTCACGGACAACCGCCAGGGCGACAGCCTCGCTATCCTACTCGCGAGCGACCACCCCCTCCCCAGCGAGGTCGAGGCAGCCACCTCCGACAGTCTCTCCGCGATCTCTCAAAGGAGGACAAGGCTGGATCCTCATGCAATCAAGCCTCCCACAACGACGCACAGGCGAACATCGCCACAACGGCGCCATCTCGCGCCACTAGTTCTCCCGCCCGTACCACCATCTCTCGGCCTGGACCGATTTCGCCACACCACACCGCCCGCTACCGCCGAGAATGGGAAGCCTTCTCCAGACGAGAGGTCGACAACCCTCTGATACCACGAGAACCACGTCTGCCGCGCCGGCACGGAAACGCGCCGAGGCCATCGACTCTGGACGCTCAAGTCCCGGACCCTGGTTCGAGAGCGACAACGCCCCGCCAGCTTGGCCAGGCCGCGCCATGATGACTGTCTGGGAGCTCTGCCATCAGGAGCCCGGCAATGCTCCGGGATTGGATCCCAGCCACCACAGAAACGGAGCGTGTATGCTGATGCTGGGCTTCAACGGTGATGTTGACGGGGTAGCTCTCCCAAGGCACGGAATGGGACTCTCGAGCGAGGAACGGTGCTGAGGTCTTTCCGTAGAGTGTCTCGTGCCCGGGGAAGCGGCTGGGCGCACATAGAGCTAGTTGGAAGATATCTACATTGGATTTGCTCACTCTCCCAGTGACTTAATTGACCTAATTGACCGGACTGGTATTGCCCGAGTGAGATACAAGGGCACCTTGGAGAGCACGTGGGACTCGCAGCGGTAAACACAGCAACCTTTCTACATGACAATTCAACTCTTCTGCATGTTCAACAACGCCTCAGTATAGATGTCTTGCACGCTCTCCGTGGTTCCATGAGTGCCCCATCGCGTCCCATCTATCCACTCGTCCGTCCATCCATCTCATACACCCCCTGATATCTCATCCCAGTCCCTCGCTCAGCCAGGCCGCCGGTGCTGTTCTCTTCCTGTATCGTACTCCCGGCCACCGGTACAACTCACTAGACAGTAGCTACAAAGCCACACAAGGGCGGAATGAGAGAAAGGAACAGAATGAAAGGAATTGCTTCGCTGCCCTGCTACTGCATTCGTTGTATGGCACCGGCTCACTGCACGACATGTTCCTCCTACACGACACCCAAGTCCTCCCCGGCGCGCAACCCGCCCTGGACGATCTTGCGGAAGAGGTCCTCACCACTATCCGCGTTCCCTTCTCCATTGCCATTGCCATTCCCATCTGCTTGCGCGCCCGCGCCCGCGGCGTTGTCGTCCGGCCCAATCCAGTCCACCCACCCGCGGAACCCGGCGCTCTTGCCCACGACGCCCATCTCGACGCCCCAGCTCCACAGGCGCACGTCCACCATGGCCGCGGCGGTCATGTGCACGTGCACGTGGCGCGGGTCCATGAACTTGTCGTACCCGACCCACAGGATGTCCACGCCGGGCAGGCCGCGGTGGCGGATCACGCTGGATTCTTTGTCCAGCCGGCCGCAGCGGTCGTTGGGGCCGGGTCCGCGCGGGTCAGGGTACCGGCTTCGCGGGGGACGAGAGCTCGGACTGGAGAGTGAAGTTGGCATTTGCACGCGTCGGATGCCGCGCCAGCCGATCTCCACGGCCGTTGTGGGCGGTCGACGCGGCGGCCGCGGCGAGGATACGTGTGTCACGTCGTGCATATGGTCGTGGTGCAGCACGTGCCTGGTGAATCCTTGCTGCGCGAGCAGCTTCCAGCTCAGCTCCGAATACTCTGCCCCCGGCGTGTACAGCACGTTCGACAGGGTCATGACGCTGACGTCGAATTCGATCTGGCGCTTGGGCCCCGGCTGGATCGGGAGCACCACCGTGCCGCGCCTCCTCCTCTGCGGGTCTTGTTGACGTTGGCCTTGCTGCACGCCGCGACCACTGCTACTACCGGCGGGAGTCGACTCTCTGGGCACCCGCCGAGGCAGGCGGAATAAGTTCAGATCTGCGCATTTGTGCGTCTCGGAAGCCAGGTTCAGGATCCACGGCGTGAATTTCATGCTCTGCGTATGCTGGGCCAATCCTCGCGGCGGTTCAGGAAACCGGGTCGGTTGGGGAAGCGGCGTGGGCGGATAAGGATACGAGTCGGGCAAGGGGATGTCTCGCGAGGTGCGGCGGATGGTTGGCTGGCGAATCAACACGCCTGGGGGTCGTCTCGGTGGCAGTGGGTAGACCTCGTCAACGTCGTCGTCGCCATAGAAGCCACCAAAGCCGAAGCCGCCGCCGCCGTACACCAAGCCTGATGGAGGGAGGGGGATCAGATCGCGACCGCCTAGCCGAGCCATTTGTGGGTGGTGAGTATATTTGGTTGTGTTTCTCTGGATTTGATGTTGTTCGGGACCTGAAGTTGGAATTCGCTCTGGAGATGAAGCAAAGCGCGATGATAAAGGTTTGGAGTGGAAGAAACGATGGAGCGTCTTCGGCATGGGGAGAAGATGGAAGGAGAAGAATGGACGGACAGAGGGGAAACGTTGGGAGTGGATTTGAATTCTGCGCTTCAAGGCTTTAGTCACCATTTCGATTGTGAAATATGTCTGTTTGGGGAGTGATCACTGAACGACGACAGAGTAGTGCCAGCTTTGCTGTCTCACGGTGCTCCAGTCATTGTCACTTGTCTTGTTTGCCGTGGATGGTCCAAGTTGACAAAGAGAGGAAGATATCCAGTGATGCCTAAAAATGTCAGCAAAGTTCACTTGTGCGGTGTCCATCTCACCTTCACAATCACCCAATACGTTCATAATGCGGCCTCAGTCTCAGTCACGTCACAGTGCTCAATATATAGCATTGCGATCTCCGTGGCTGCTAGGGGTGCATGGTCTTGTTGAACTCCAGAGGCAAAGAGTGCACCAGCAGACTCTCGGACAGATCTGCTCCCAGCTCTCGAGAGTTAACGCTCAGCATCGTACTCGTCCACAACTAGCAGCGCCTTCCCTGGTTCATCGACATGCTCGATTGCAGTGCCGTAGATCCCAATCTTGATAATTTGACTCAGAACCAATCTGGTATAATCGCGCTGCAAGGCTTTCAGATTGATTATGTTCCGCGGCTTGTCCGTCTTGTAGTACAAGACGTCCTGGAGTCGGATGGCTGTCAGCCTGTCGCTTCTTGTAATGGGGATCACGACGTCGCCCTTCCCAAGCACCACGAAATCCTTGGTCCGATCCGCTGAGAGGTCTTCGTCGAGGTTGAAGAAGAGAGATCGCTCGTGGCAGTAGTGGTGCGGGCTGTCGTTCCAGACTATCCATCTTTCCTGCTGCGGAGGCATTGATGGATGTTAATATTGAGTGAGCCGCTGTCGTCAGAGGTAAGAATGCGCGGGTCGTCCTTGTTGGTCCTTGAGTGATGTTGGAAGTGGTTGAGTGTTCTGGTACCGACGAATGTCCGGGATAGAGGGAGTCAAGTGCAAAGTCCGCATCCACCTTTGAGCCAGACTGATATATGATCACCAAGTGAAGAGTTGTGATCGGTCGCCCTGATACTTCAAAAGCCTGAGTCGTAACAATGACAATCCTGGCCCGTTTGGCAAACACTGTCTGACTCTTCGAGACCAGCACTGCTTTCTGCGTTTGGCCTCTTGATGACCGCGCTCAATTGTCTCCAATTCTACAACCGGCCAGTCATCTGGCCAAACGCCAGCATAACCGTAGAACACCGAACTGACAGCGCTCGTCTGCCGCTTCGAGCGCACTCAGCGTCGGCCCTTGGAGGAGACTCTTGCACCGCGGATTGACTTTGGTCCCGATCATCATCATCATGGGGAAGGTCGACTATGAGGACTTTGCGTTCGTCTCTCTGCATTTCAGGTACAAAAGGCACCGACCGAGCCAGTGATAATTGGTCCAGCAGATCGTATTCTCTGACTTTCCAGTATTTCGAAGAGGCCGAAAACAGATTCAAGAATGACCGATGCACTACCACTTGTAGAGTAGGCAAGCTGTCAGGTATCCTTCACAACTCGTCGGCCTGCATTAATAGCTCTTTGCCCAATCTTTGCAGGTAAGCTCTCGCGACGTCCTTCGGAATGTTCGCAAGCATAAGATTTGAGCTCGCAGCGGATTTTTTAAGAGCAGTTTGCCCATTTAGCGCCGGCGCAGGCTGGCAAACATTTGAAGTGAATCTCTTAACAACATTCTCGAGGTCCCTTCGTCCCTCCTCATAGGCTGCCAGCTCAGGCGATGATTCGTGGCGGGGACTGGCAGCAATCAGATGGCGCTTTAGATTACGGAAAGAGAGATTGACTGTCGCGTCGACCCAGTCACTCTGACTGCGTCGTTTTTCTTTGAAATCGGACACAGATTCACTTCCCGAAATTGAGCCGTTGCTGCTGGCACTGGATAGCTTCTCGCTCGAGGTACTAGACGAGAAGGCGCCATTGCAACGCCGGTCTTTGTCGTTGATGCCATCGATGTATATCACACTGGCCACAGACCAGAAAGGTGGAATGAAAAGGGCGTCCCCGGGCTTCTGTATGACGATGTGGGGACTAGTCCCAGACGGTGCGTAGAAGATGTGCTCCTGCAATGGTGTCTTGTCACAGAAGATATCAAGATGGCTCGTAGTTGCCCCAGGTGGGAACTCGAGCTTGCTTTGGTCGCAGGGTGGGAACAGGAGTAATTTCCGGGTGCCATGGAGTTGGAACACGATGCTTGCCATGGCACTGTATTGGAGCTTGGTGGAGATCTTCTTTGATATCACCAACTGGAGCGAGTGCATAAGAGGCCCGACGCTGCGTAGCTGAGCAGGAATCTCAAACTGATCACCGATGTCAGGGTGGGTTTTCTGGGGGGATGTTGGACTGCTGTCTTCCGGTCTGGCAGCTAGACTGCGAATGCCAAAGGTCGTTGACGACATACCAAGCGCCTCCAAGATTTGGCTCAGCGACAGATTCACATGTGTCGAACCTTTCAGGAGAGTGCTCATCTCCTCGCTCATGGTGTTCTGGAGAAGTGTTGTTTTGAGAAAATCGACTGAATGCAACCGACACGACCCCAGAGGAAGCCCGCTCATGAGCAGAGGTCGCGAGACACGCACTGCGGCGTGGAAGTCTTCAGGATCGGTCAACGGGGCCGGAGCAATCAGAACTCCCTCGGGCCGCCTGTCAACCGCAGTTAAGCTCGAGTCCGAATTCGCTGGAGGATATTTGGAAGCCTTGCTGGGCACGGTGACCCAGTCAGCGGCAAGGCCAGCTTCTTTTTCATACAGAACCCAGATACCTTTGTTGAAGTACTCGCCGTAGTTGAAGCAGTCGGCACCCCCACCCAGGATAACATACATGCCTGTCCGCGTTCGAAGTGTGGAATGGCCGATGAGGAACGGCCGCGGACAGTCTTGTGAGCACATTGCCTCCACGGCTCCGACGCGGAAGCTTGGCTCTTTGCTCTCGTCATGCCAAGTCGAAAATGTCCCAGTCAGAGACAAGATCTCGTACGTTTTTTGTATGCATCCCAATCTGGCTATGCCGCCGATAATCAGGAGGTAGTCTTGTACAAAGCCATATGAAGCACCGAAGCGAGCAAAGTATTGGTATGACCCAATGCTGGTATCCAATCCGTGGGAAGGGCGAAACCTTAGTGCTTGCACGGCATTATCGCGTATCACCAGTCGCCACCGCCAGAAGCCCTGGCATATGACGCCGTCTTGCCGCATGCCACCAAACAACAAGCCATGGTTGAAACCGAGACACACAAAGTTTGGTCCGAACCTAGGTTTGGGGTCCTTACCGAAAATGCGCAGCTCACGCCAGCCTTTGTTTGGCTCCCACAGCAGCACTTCGGTGGCCACTTTGGTTGGGCTTACCTTGCCGCCAAAGCAAATGGCACCAAAAACATTGTCAGGCAAGGTCACTGGGGCTATCCGATGTCGATACCGTCCTTCGGGCAGGTCGTGGATGCGATACCAAATATTCCCTTTCTGTAACCAACAGTCCTTTAGAGGTTGAGTTGGCGACAGTCGGCCACCGACCAGAATGTTGTCTCCATTGTTCAGTGCGGTTATGACATGACAGCATCGAGCACCGACTTCAGGAGGCAAAACGATGGGTGTCTCCTCGTTCAGATGGCGTGGTCGGCAAACGGCACTCGTCGAAAGGCACGACTTTGATCCGGCACCGCCAAAGATTGCAACAGCGTCTTGGTCGGGTATGGGATATGCTGATCCGTGATGACGCTGGCAAAGTTCGCCCGGGTCGTCGTAGTAGCGGTAAGCGAAATGCTCAGAGTCGGGATTGCAGGGCGAGGAAGTCCTCGCCGAGATATCAGAAGCTTCGCTAGAAACTGAGTCGGCGCGAGACTTCATGAGTTTTCCTGGAAGGACGGGATGAACGCCATTTTGTGCAATGACCAGGCAATAGTGGCTCGCCCAAAGAGCAAATTCTTCCCACTCATCGAAAGGCTCAACGTGGTCCAGCTCCATGCGTTGTGACGGAGAGAGAAAGCGAGGATCGGCCCAGAGCTCCCATAACGACTGGTAATCAATCTGGGCGAACCCTGCGTTGCTGAAGCGCTGGATTTGGGAGCGGTCATCTGGATACTGGAAGATGGATTTCAAGGGCGTGCCGAGGCCAGTATAGTGATCGGTCATCCTCCTCGTGAAAGGATTGTCAGGCTGATCAGGGCTACAAGGCTCGAGGAGGCAGAAGGCGACATCTAATGGTTATGCGCAGTCAGGAAAGCGATACAGAGGTCATTTCGAGTGAGATCAGAGTGCCAACTCACCCTTCGATAGTCTCGAACACCAAGAGATGAGGGTGTCGGCAGAGCTCACGGGCATGAAGGAGATGGAATCCTCGGCGATGCAAAGGACAGAGCACTCATCCAGACTGACCACGGACTTCTTGAGTAGTCGTTCCAATCTCTGGAGGTTGCGCATATCGCAGCCGATTGCCGCATATTCTTCGCTGTCGACCAGCAAGGCAGGGTCGCTGCCGCCGCAAGATGAGCCAGAGAAATGCAGCAGGTCTCTCAGCTCGGGCGTGCTCATGATGATGTCCCTCTTGGTCTCCATCACTAGGTCGTAGTCGACGTCGACGAATTTGGCGCCGGAACAAAGCCCGGCCTCTTGGGACAACCATCGGAATGGCAAAGGGTCACTGAACGAGTTGGCGGGCCGTTCTTAGCCTGTGAAAGGTCGCGGCAAGGAATCTTGACTCACTATCCAGCGCCGAAGTTGATGATGACTTTCTTCTGGTCCGAGGGTCTCTCGAGGAATTGCTGAATCACCCATTTGATGGCGCGCATGCGAAGCCAGTAGCCGCGATGGACCGCCGGGGAAGCACGTTTGACCTTTTTTGCGAAGAACTTGTGGAAATGCGGCTTCGGTAGGTACAGGCGCTCGGTGCTGGCTTTGAAGGCTGTGGTTGCGTTATTGGTCTTTGCGCTTCAGTCAGTGTCCGTCCGAATGTCCTTGACCACCCAGAGGGGATCTGGTCAACCTACGGCCATGATGAGCCCAGCATTTCGTTCAAATGGCAGGACATCCTCGCTACCGCTGCCGCCGACGCCATTACTTCCAGATGGCCGCATTGTTCGAAGCACGGGCTGCCAGAGCCATAGAGAATCGGAAACACACAATTGAGCCAACCACCGGTCAAAGTGGAGGACGCCGGCAAGGAAGACGGTGGGGAAGGTAGTCGGGAAATAACTACATGGACACGGAGAACAGGAATGAAAAGAGCGAGTCTCACTGTCAGATGGAACAAAGCAGCAACAGCCTCGGATGATGGTTTGATGATGGCGAGGAATGAAGATGAAGATGAAGTTGTGGACGGAAGATGGAACGATGGATGACTAACGCCCTTCGCCACTGGTGACTTGACAAGCTTTTTACGCGAGACGCTGACGGAGGCCGATGGTCAGACGAGCATCGCATCTACAACAATAGACAACAGTAGACAGTCTCATGTAATCAATCATCTCCCCTCGCGGTCCGTATATGTAACCCTCTGCTTCGTGTTGATCCAAGCCAATAGACGTCCCCAGCCAGCCAGCAATATGGCTACTTCGTATCCTTGCCCGCCGGTGGCAATGCTCGATACGCCAGGTTCGCCCAGTGCTTGCGTGCAGCGTCCCTCGGCTTCGCTGACCCATTGCCTTGTGAAGGTCGGGAGAAGTTCGTCCCAGGTTTGTGACTTGCCTTGTTGCCCGCGTCTGACGATGGCTTGGTCGGGTTGTTCGCCATTGGAGCAGTCAGCCTTCCAACTTGTCTCTCCAACGGCCCCGCTGCTCTCTCTCCGTCTCGTGCAGTTGCCCTTGATATCGCAGCTTGTAGTTCTCGAGGTGGTCTCTCTCTGGCTGGTGGGCCTTCTCCCACTACCGCATTCTGCAGTGACTGAGGGAGTCGCACACCATGGACGGCTCGGGCGAATGGACCAAGCACGACGCGCATTTCGGGGTCCAGGACCGAGGGCGACTTGAACGCGAAGATCAACAAGTTCCCGTTAGGGTCGTAGGATCCAGGCGTCATACTCATCGACCTCCAGCGTGCAGCCGCTGTCCAAGAACTTGTGCAGACTCAGAAACAATCTGTCGTACGCCACTGGCACCCGAGGCAAATGAGGACTGCAGACGACGTCGTCCAGAACAAGCCGTACATCCCCTGCCAATTCCAATTCGACCCGCCCTTGGCCATGCTCATTGCCAAGGTGTGGTGCGAATTCCTGGACGCCTGGACATTGTCGGAAAGTCCTATAGAAACCCATGCTGTTGGAGAAATGCTCTGTGAGGCAGGTTGCGACTCCATGTTGGCAATGGTGGACACCAGCAGGTAGGATACCATCGTTCACCAAGTAAGTATAGGATGTGTTGATTGTGCGGCCCTTGAGATTCATGGTTGAGTGCGGTTGGGTAGCCGAATCTTAGGAAGAGGAGCAGGGAAATATCAAAACCATGCAGAGGGTCTGAGGTGAAACTTATACCTGTCCAAGAGCGGACTTGTCACTGCTCGGTGTCCCCATGGGTTTTGAACCCGATGAGTGATAATGTCTCTCCTCGTGGGAATGTGAAATTCACCTTTGATGCTGGCCACGAGTATGCACGAGTATGATTTTCACCGTTACTTCCGTTCCATTGGAGGCGGCGATGATGGGCTGAAGTCACCACATCTATCACAATCGGGTCGTCTCTAACCAACAAGTTTGCCAATAGACAGCGACAGCACCAGGCCGGCACCTAGTCTGAAAAAATGTACACCTTCTGTGAGCATTTCTGGAATGATTAAGCAATGCTTGTAAACGCGACATATGGTGACAAAGTATATCGCCAGGACTTGACGTGTAGAGAACGATCCGATCGACGGGATTCGAGCGCTTCGTGTATTGATGATAGCACCTCCGCCATCGAATCCGCCCATGGTGTCGGTCGCTCTAGTCTGAGAACAGTGCACATCCTGATGCCTTTGCGCTGGTAGCCATTAGCTTCAAGGCGGCGATGCCCTCTATAATGTCTTGCACCGTGTGATCCGAAGAGTCTACGCAAGCAGCTTCACTTCCCGCCAACGTCAAGCTCGATCGTCTCTCGAATTCATGCAGCAGAGTACGTTTCGCCGTTTCCAGGGGAAATGCGACCAATGAGCGCCCGATATAGCCCAGGCTGGTTTCTGAGAAATACGGCAAAGACCGAAGAAGAAGTTTCGTCGTCTCGAGCAGGTCCGAGCGCAACAGGATGACCTCTTCGTCCGTCTCGCTAGACTGGATGCATTTCGTGCTGTCCTCAACGTACTCGACTTCTCTGAGGGATGATTGGGTCAACGTGGCATGTTCGAGCAGAGAGATACAAGTCTCGAGAGTGTGCATTTTGAACGAAAGGTAGTAGGTCCAAGCCGTCAGGACTTCAAGGTTCGGGAACGCGAGATCGCCGTGCCCAGAAGTGTAGTTCGATGACTCGGCGACCGACCGAGCATCATTAGCAAGGAAGTCTTCACACCAGATCTGCAATCCAGTCGTGGTGCAAGAGAGCGTCTTTAAGAACTTGCTCATGCGTGCAAGTTCCCGCTCGCCGGTCAAGGTGCCGCTTTTCAATCTATCGACGTAGACCATGATCGGAGGAACAGAGCCGGCGCAGCGGACCAATCTGCTGATCTGGCTCATGTGCTGATTCCCGAGATCTCGCCCGTCGGTACTTATAGCTTCTGTTGCCAGGGGTGTTCCGGTCAGCACGGATTTTTGGCGGCTGATGAAGCAAAACACGAGCTCGAAAAGCCGGTATTCCTCCAACAGATCGTACACGTCGTCCGGCATCGATTTTGACTCAAGGAAGCGATGGACCAACAAGCAGCCGAGGCCACGGACGTGGCGATTCAGGTCGAGGAGCGACCCGCCGACATTCAGTTCGAACATGGCCGCCGCATGGCATGACAACATTAATGTGGGATAGTCGCTGGAGCTGCGGTTGCAACCATTCATCAGAAGCCCCAGTTGTCGACTGACTGCTGGCAGAGTCGTCTGGTATGTGCGCTGTGCCACCATCTGGATGTCCTCGCGCTGGTGATCAGCCCCGAGTAAGGCGAGCCCCAGCGCACGAAGCATGCCGATCATGAGAGGATTTTCCTTGACCGCAGCGAGTTCGTACCCTCTCACAACCCAGGGGGCACAAGGTGTCGTCAACCGCTGTTCCGAAGGTCCTGGGCGTCGGAGCGTCACGCGGTCTGGCAACAAGCGTGATCGAAACAGGGCCAACAGCGCGAGCGTGTATTGCTTCTCAGGACCTGGATGGTTGAGGAGACTGCAGTGCGATCCCGGAGACCTTCCACAGCGTGTCGGAGCATATTTCACGACCTGGTTCTGGTCGCGAGTGTCTGTCGCCCTCTTCGACTGCCATTTCGTCTCCTGGACCCAGCGGAGCCTTGGTTGGTATGGGGCGTTGAGGGCTTCGAGCCGCTTCTTCAACTTCTGGCGCTCCCTGTGTGCTTGGACATTCAACCTGACTTTCTCCCGTCGAATGGCTACCCTTTCGTCCTCGCTGCGCGGATATGGTGGTCTTCCCCTCCCCATCAGTCGCGAAGAACGGCTGATCTCAGCTCAAAGCGAGGCGATGGTCTTGTCGAACAACCCATGAACAAAGTTGTTACTTCTCTTGTGTTTTTGATGCCTGCTGTCTTATTCGATAGGCTGATCAGTCATCATCGTATCACTGCGAGGACTATCCAGCGATATCTGTGCGTCGTGCGGTGCTTGGCTTGGGGTTCAGCCTGAAAGAGCGAGACCGAGACCGAGTATTATTATTAGGATCCAATGGCAGTCTCCGTGATTACCTCGAGGTCACCGTGGGGTCTCCTCCCGCCACCTAATCAAGTAAGGTGCCGTCTAGTGCTTTGCCTTGCTTGCTAACGATGAGACTACAAAGGAACAGGACTAACTGAAAAGAGAGACAATGTGGCGACTGAGCTTATATAGGCTATTCACGAGGACTCACACACACACTGAAGATGGCGCTAAATCACCGCGGGAGGCCTCAGTATAAAGGTGTCCATCGACGCTACGTCGCTTGAGGAGATTTAACCGCGAACACCTCCAGATAGCTGCCTGATTTGGCCACGGAAGGGGACTGCGATTAGGCCCTATTGTACTCGGGACGCAGGGATCGTATCAATTCGTGCTTTGGACTGGACGCCGAAGACACACACCTCGCACTTTAGGCCTACAATGCTGAGTGGCGCCGACTTACCCCATTTTAGGTATTCGCGACTCTGGGCCCTATCGTCAAGCTGGCCTGGACTTCGGATTTGACGTTCTTGGGGGCATAAGGATGACAGCGGGGGAAATCACCACGTGTAGAGACAGTGAGGCTGTGCTGTCAGTGCCTCGTGTTCAATTTTGGACCACGACACCACCACCGACTCATACATGGCTGCTTCAAGGCACACTGAGTATGGATGTTGACATTTCAGTTATATCACCATGCCCAAGTCCACTACGACTCCTTCAGCCTTGCCAGTGTGGCCTTCCCGGCCCTTGAATCATTGGGCCTGCCGAGCTGCGCAGTAATCCATTGCCCGATTTCCGCCATCTTGACCATATCGACCCCGGTCTCACAGCCTAGGCTGTGCACCAGGTGCAGCAGATCCTCAGTCGCAACATTGCCCGTAGCGCCCTTGCTGTAAGGGCAACCACCCAGTCCTCCGACAGAACTGTCGAATATCCTAACACCGTGCTCCAAACCCACAACAGTGTTCACAAGCGCCATACCGTATGTGTCATGGAAATGGAGGGCAAGATCTTCATCCAGAATGCCCGCTTCCTTCAAGGTCTGGAGCAGCTTTCGCGTCCGAGGCGCGGTTCCCATCCCAGTAGTGTCGGCGACGGAAACTTCGTCGCAGCCCATCTCCAACAGCGTAGCAGTGATTTCCGCGACCTTGTGAGGGTTGACGTCGGGCCCCTCATATGGACAACCCAATGCCACGGACACATAACCGCGCACGCGAATGTTATGCTGCTTCGCGAGCTCCATGATTGGCTTCGATCGCTCCAAGCTTTCTGCGATGCTGCAGTTGGTGTTTTTCTGTGAGAACGTCTCTGTTGCTGCGGCAAACAACGAAATCTCGGTTGAATCCCCCGACTGAACTTCGGCCGAGGACTGGGAAGCCGGTGATGAGGAACTTTGGCCTTGGGACTGTTCAGGTCCGGGGGACGGCGGTGGCGTAGGATAGCTTGAGGGATTGCGGGCGCCGTTGGCTTGGAATATCTTGAGGAGATTCTCGAGTCCGCGAATGTTCGGCACGAGGTAATTGTATGCGATGCCGTGTGGTGCAGGAGGCGGTTGAGTCAGTACAGACTCGAGTATTTCTGCCGTCGAGGCCATCTTGTGAACATTATGTCAGTTGTTTCATTCCTGTATGGATATTACCGGCGGTCACACACCTGTGGCACCCATTTCGCAGGCACAAAAGAGCCCGCCTCCATATGCGTAACGCCGGTCTGCGCCAGCCGCCGAATAAGCTCGAGCTTTGTTTCCAAGGATATTGTGCTCTTCTCATTTTGCAAGCCGTCTCTGGGCCCGACTTCGACTATTCTGACGTGGTCGGCAAGGCATTGTCTTGAGGTGCTGAAGCTGCGGAACAAGGGTCTTGGAAGAGTTCGCGGAAGGCCGCCAACAAGTCTCTTCATCGTGACAGTCGGCGCGAAAGGCTAGGGACACTTAATATTGGGTATGCTTGCTCGAGGGATCTGCAGATGAAGTACACTCATGTGCGAGAAGAGACCAAGGGGAAAGCCAGCAGTCAACCAAATGAAGCAAGTATCAGGCGAGTCTACGTTGTGGAGTGGTGCTTGTGGAGAACTTGTATGCTACAGCCTCCTCACGGCCAAATACGGCAAAGTGCGGGGAAGCCTTGCCCGAGGACGAGGCTGCGCCCACCGATATCGGAATGAACTGCTTGAGTCGGGATTCTCTCCATGATAGTAGTAACACTTCTTTGAACGCCGAGCGAGAGGGAGAATCAATCAAGCCTTCAGCTTGAATTGGCCTTTCTCTGCCGCATCCAACCCGCGGACCGCAATCACACAGATACTCGACAGCATCAGCAGTCCAAAATCATACCAGATGAGGTTGATAAACGCTTGCGGATGTTTGCCGTCTGCAACCAATGCACCACCCACTGGCGAGCCCCAAAAGGCCCCTAGACCGCGGATGAAGTAAATGAAACCGTTGACTGACGCGTATGCCTGTGCACCGAACACCTCGATCACCGTGGTAGGGAAGAGAGAGTTGTATCCTGGGAATATCTCATAAGCAACTTTCATGCTGGTTCGCTCGTGAAAGGAGGGAAACGTACCGCCGGCGAACAGGCCATAGGTCACCACAAACGTTATCCACAATCCCATATCAGCCCCATAGGCGCTGGAGAGCCAAAATGCCACGACGGTTATGGCACTACCAAGGACGCTGAGGACCAGGGTGTTTTGTCTGCCTGCAACATCGGCGATGAAGCCCATCGCTATCCGACTAATCGTGTTGACAGCGTTGTTCACCGAGAGAAGCCCCGCACCACTGGCACAAATATTTCATGAGCCGCTGTCAGTTTGGCAGTGTAGGTACTTACAAGGCAGCTGTATACCCTAACCTCGTACTAAACTCAGGGAGAAAGGTCAGCGGGACCAGATTTCCTGCCGCCTGAGCCATTGCAGCTGTCGCTTGTAGAATGAAGGTGGGCCGTTTGGCCAGCCTGATATCCACCAACGTCGGCCGCTTGGAGAGGCTCCGTGACTGTGGCGTCCCTAGCACAATGGGGATGCACAAGACGAAATTGACGAGCCCAAAGATGCGCAAAGTCCAGGCGGCCCCCATATTCGCCAGGAGTGCGCGGGCTGCAGGTGCGTAGACAAGCCCTCCTACTCCGGCTGCTGACAGAATAAAGCCCATAGCGGAGCCACGATGGGCGTCAAAGTACTCTGGCGCCACGGCGAGGATGGGAAAGTACATCAAAGAGGTGCCGATGCCGTAGATCAGACCCTGTGTAAGAAGGAGCTGCCATACCTAGACAAGAGTATGAGCGAGGGTCAGGATAGTCGAAGCATGAATGCCAAAGGGGCGCCGACCTTGTGACAGAAGCTCGCAAGCACATAACCCATTCCAATAAGCACTGCTCCCGCGCCGGTCAGCCACCTTGGATCCTTGGATCTCGCCATGAGCGGGTTAACAACAATGCTCCCACCCCAGGTCAAACCAGCGGCCAGAGTGCCCACAAATGCCAGCATTGCCTTGCTGGAAGCTTCGCTCGGCGAAAGAAACGGATCTTTCGCACTGCTCCCGTCGGAAAGGTAATAATTGAGAAAGACACCGTAGGCTTGATTCAGACCGATGGTGATGACGACGTCGAAGAAGGCACAGAAGAGGATGACTGTCTGTCGTTTCCGAGAGACCGGTCGCATAGCAGGCTGTGCATTGGTAGGGACGACGATGCGTTCGTCGCCAGACTCATCGTCCGCGGTGCGCAGTTGAATGGATTCCTGCGGTTCGAGCCCAATGGACGCAGTTAGTGAGCTAGAGGTGGTTCTTCCATCCATGGTGTACCATTGAGCCGCGGTGTCGGCTGCGAGCAGATCTAGCAGGGGCACTCGTAGAATAGAAGAGGAAACAAGGAAAGCCTGAAGCCTTTGGTCTGAGAAAATGCGGAGAGCCGTGACTGGGTTTATGTGCATATCCGTCGGGAGCCTCGCCGATGTAACCACGAGGAGAAAGTCGGGAGTCGGAAGTCGAAGTGGAATCCGGACTCCAAGTTGATACGTCGATGCGATGATCCCCAGATCTTCTTTCCTAATGCATAACAGGGAATGGTATGGTATGGCATGGGATGGTGGCACTGCCTTGTCCGTTGCGGTTTCGTCCAGGATCTTCCGCAGATGTGCCAGATTCCTCTTTCGTATTCATGCACTCTACATACACAACTGCTTGTGCTGACCATACTGCCGGTGCAGTCTCCGTTTCGAGTCTACTGGATCTTTGTCTGGTCCATCACAGCCTCATCCACGCCCAATTCGACGGTCACATTGGCAACACGCTGTCGTCGTTGTTCACCCCTTCTCGCGAGCTGGCTGCTCTTCATACGCCATCTCAAATTCACCGCCACCATCCACATCACCCTGCCTTTCCCACGCCTCTTCTTCATTGTTCACCATCTGTCTGTCTTCCGCCTCTCCCTGCGCCTTCTTATGGTCATCTGCGACCTTGGGATCATTCGACTCGACTTTCTTTGCGATCTTTTCCCATCGTGCCTTCAATATTTGGCAGGAAACTTTCTCTCCGTGCTCCTCTTTGTAGATTCTCCGGACGGCTTCCCACAACAGGGGTTCGATCGCTTTCATTGCCCTAGTCCTGGCGTCGATCAACCTCATCTCATTTCTCTTCTCCTCTTTCTTTCGGTCAGAGATGATCTTGTATTTCATATCATTGGGCCATCGCTTGAGCCAGTAGTCTGGGAACTGGGCAACATGTTAGTATAGCGAGACGACAGAAGTGAGAAAGCAAGGCTGGACGTACCTCGAGTTCTCCGCTCACGGCAAATTGCTCCTTCAGCCTGCAAAACCGAACCAGCAAGTTATTCCTACTCAGCGCTTCTCCCGTCAACCGCTCCCATTCCTTTTCAACATCCTGATGCGCCACACCGTTGAGTTTCCACGTCCAGAGCATTTTGTCCCATTCACCTGCGTCGGCGAGTGTTGCAGGAAGCGGCTTACCCGGATACTTCATAGGTCCGATGAAAGTGGGAGGGTTATTGGCACGATCGATTTTGCCTTGGATGTACTTTTCAAAATCACTTCCATCCGAACTGGCTCTCTTTCGCTTTGCTCTTGTCTTTCCTTCCCCACTAGCGACTCTTGCCTTGGCGGCGGTCTCTTTTTGTTCTTCCTTTTCCCCCTGCATAGCTTTCTTTACGGAAGCCTCTCCTTCGTTGGAAGTTCGAGGTGGTTGGCTAGGAGAACGGGGACGTCCGATAGACTCAACAATAGAGGAGAGCTCCGGAGGGGGGCTGTTTTCTTCGGTGCGAATTCGAGGTGGAGGTGCTGATGGCATCAAAGTCAAGTTGTAGAGCACGGCGGTGGCTCCGAGATCATCACTTTCACCTGGTCTGTCTGAAGAGAAAGGTTGAGAAGCCTGGCCGGGAACAGAAGTCCGAGGGTTGCTGGGGATGCTAGTGTTGAGGGTTTTCGGTCTTTTGCGGCTAGGCATCACTCGAGCAGAAGAGTGAAGGCTCTGCATGAAGGGATTTGGTGGAGGTCGACCACCAGCCCGGGGTGAGCCTGTCATCATGCGCTGTCGCGCTGTCGCGCTGTCGCGAGGTGAAGGGGAAGGACTCCGCTGGACAGGCTGGAATGGAGGTGGGACGTCGAACCAGCAGTAGAGACAGGAAAAGGAGGCGCGGGCGATGCGTGCAGAAGACTGAGGACATGAAAACAGACAGGGAACGTGCGACTTAATCGATCTAGCGCAGATTCACCTACAGCCGTCGATGGGTCGCAATGAGGGCACGCCAGCGACAATAAAAGGGCAAAGAAAGGTTGAGCTGGTGCCAGGGAGTGGTGCAGAGAAGATTCATCTTTCTTTAAACCATTGAAGAGCGCCAGTCACAGGAGCCGTACCTCATGCACGCATGCATATGACATGCCGTTCTCTTCCAACTTATTCCAACACCATTGTTTGCACGAAGGCCACCAACTGGGCATGTTCTCCAGTCCTTCTGCGGGTGTCCATACTGAGAAAGATGGGGATGGGGATGGATCTGCGTCCATCTCAGGCGCCACTTTACCTATAACATAGGGCCGAATGGAGGCTATCAGAACACAAGGGTTCCGGGTAGTATGGGAACATGGTGGCCGCTATGCTCCAACTTTTGTGTCTGAAAGTCCCATCTTGTGGTGGTGTCGCAAGGCTGACCTGCATGGATTCACAGCATATGCATCTTGTCTAGACTTGTGTGGCCTGTTTTCTTGCTTCCTTGTTTCCTTGCCAAATAAAGGCAATCAGCTGCAGCACCGCCTTTTCCAAGCCCCTTCCTTTGTCAGTCCGGTGTTGCTGGTCAGGCTAGCAATCTGGAGCTAGATGACACAGACGGGTCAGAAGGATGTTTGTCCAGTGAGCATAACGTAGAGGAGTTCACCGAGCCTGGGCCCGCGATGACATGGTGGTCGTGCATGTTCCAACAGAAACTGCGTGGCATTGGGGGTTTGTGTCAATTGACGACGGTGACTGACTCTTTTCCAGCAGCTGGTCTCATCCGCAGCTCGTCAAACCGTCGCCGCATACCAAGACCCTAAAAGCGGCATTGTAGATCTGGCCAATCAGCGTCGTGGGGCATTGCTGGCTGTTTGGCCAGTCGCATTGCAGCTTGACACTGCGCACCAGGCCGATTCCCCCAATTGCCTTCTTCTAGCCCAGATTGCTTCGCCCACTACTCAACCAAGTACGCCTTGCTTCTGCCAGAGCAGATATTCAGCCTCAAGCGGTCTCTTCTTCAGAGAATGCATTCTCCTCCTCTCGCCCGACTTCTTTTTCACTTCGACTTTTTCCAAGCTCTCTAGAGAGCAATATCACCATCACCAAGGGGCTTGCGCTGCTCCCTAGATCGGGGTCCAAAGGGGGAGGAAATTGCACCTGCACAGCCACATCCCGATGGCCCTCGTCCCTCTTCGTGCACTATTCACAAGAAGGCGGTGACTGTCTCCTCGATCTGACTTTACGTAGGAGTCATCATTGTGCGGCCCCTGTCAGCAGACCGAGTCGCGCTTGATCATGACATTAACCGCAAGATCGGGTGGCGATAGAAAGGATCTTCATCTTTCAAGACCTTTGCGACAACGCAGATGACGGCCAAATCTGAGCCGATGTGCTCTCTCCAAGAGACCATCCGTACCGGGAACTTTTATTCCTTGGACGAAACTACGTTCCTTCACCAAATCAAAGACGCCTTCTCCCCTGAACTTGAACGACTGAAAAACGTTAGAGCCGTCGAGGGCACCGAGGAGCAACGCGTCACAGCTAATGGAAAAGACGATACGTTGAGCCCGTCGCAAATCCTCTATGGGGTCAATTATGATGAGGTCAACCGAACGCTTGTCGGAATTCTTGCCCTTCGCTGGATCCACAATCGTGACTATGAACGCTTCACTCGACCCCAAGCCCCCGAGTCACGCTTGACAGAGGAATCATTCGAGTGGCTGCGCGACCTCTTCGAGAGAGGAATAGAGGGCCCAGATGACCTTTTTGCGCTGGTGGTGTCAATGATCATCAATGATTTGGGAAAAGACACCAACTTGGAAGAAGATTTCTTCTTTGGAACCGGCGAGCGCTTGGGGGATCGGAATCACGATTCCGTACTGTTAGCAGCAGCCAACGCTGGGATGATCACCGCTTTAAACTATCTCACAAATGAGAAACGAGAGGAGGTTATGCTGGGTCTGGAGCTAGGATCGGAGCTGAATGCAGGGCAACTGGCTCAGGCCGAAAGTGTGCCTGTTAATCTAGAAGGATTGCTGGCCATGCGAGGTCATGAACATGCATTCGAACTCAAGTTCATGGAGCAAATCCTTGACGTCGCCGGCGCTCTAGGTCACCTTGACCCTCGTGGCTCCAAGAGCTTTAGCGAACCCGTCTTCCAAGCTTTCAAAACTGTGCATGAGGTGTCCCTCGATATTATTGCCGGCAAATCCAACCCTCGTCAAGGGTATGACAAGGTCCTCACAAAACGTGGAAACATGCTTTCCATCAAGGGATTCCGCAGACTTAGTGTTAGCGATCGAGAAGAACGGGCACTCCTCCGCTTGTTGACCATGGGCCGGACTACAGACAAAGAGCAAGCTGAGCTATTTTCGAAAGCATTCAACGCCCTAGACCAGCAAAACAAGGATCAGCTTGTGGCGGGTCTAAATGTCGATGGCAATGGTTATGAGACTGCCGTTCTGCCGTACTACATGCCTGCAATTATCTCCACCACTTTAGAAAACACGAAAGACTCGGACGAGGAAAACAAGCGCCGGGCACTGACGTCCCTTATGAGGTATCTGGCCAAAGTCTTGGCCAGCCCAGGACATGATCCGACTGCTGTTCCCGACTTCGCAGTATACAACAGCGAAGTGCCCGGTATCATCATCGAGAGAAATATGTCAAAGGCGCAGGATTTCATCAACAGCCCAGAGTTCAAGAACAACCCGGATATACTGGATGCGTTGGACATACCCGATGCGCAAATTCTTCAACGTAGAAGGACCAGCCAGTCTTGGTGAAAGGCAGTTATCAGACAGCAGTCATCGATGACTCTCCTCCACTCGACGGACCTAATCTGCCACCATCAGTGGAGGTTCCAGTGGAAATGGACAGCGGATCATGGATTACCCATTCAGATGTCCTGGCTAGGTTTTGCGAGGCTGACCACAACATCTTCGAAGGAGGACTTCAGCTGAACCATGGCTCAAGATGCTGGCACTGGGCAAGGTTAAAAACAGTCCCTTCTTTGCTTTGGAACGGTTTTAGGGTTCTTGCCTGTCCCAGACGATCACTCATTGCCCGCCAGGCATGACTCCGTTCAATAGCCACACCGTTCTGTAAGGTCCTCATCTACATGCGTGCACATATAATGCGCTGCGTGGTTTGGAGCTACTTCATCAACCTAGCAGTGGTTGCACGATTTTCGACTATTGCTCCAAGGACGAACAATCAACAATTCGCCGTCCACAGCATTCACCCTTAAGCCTTCTTGCAGTTCTCGTCAACGCTTCCCTACTTGGAGACATGGCACCTCTTCGCCAGACATTTCTTGGTGCTACTCCATCAGCACAACCTCGCCCATCAGACCAAAACTCGGATCCACAGTACCTCATCGTTCCTGTTCATCTGAACACTCCTCGGAGTGCATCAGGCGTCCCCCTCGCAGACAACGCCCTTACCGACCTCAATCTCCATCGCGATGCGCAGGATTTAGAGGGAGACAGATCCGTGGAGCCCAGAAGTCTCCTGCACGACATAGCCTCCCAGCTTGACATTGGTATTGAAAGCGATCAGGGTACCACCGTCGCTTTCCCTCGCTTCTCTGAGCAGCAATCTGCTCTGACATTCACCAACTCGGCGGAGGGCCCGATGATGCTTAGCGGCAAAGAAGGTCACGGTGGACACGCGCGCAGCAGACCATTCCGGCTGTTTTTCACGTGCGAGTGGATCATATCGAGCATGTGCCATTGCATTATTGTCTACATGTTCGTGAAGTCCCTCCTTTCTTCTCCCTCGAAACGCATTGGGAGAGAAGAATATGGGGCGAAATCGGAGAACAGGAAGCCCTACCTCCACACACCAGAAGTTGTCATGGAATTGACCGATGCCGCTTCACAAGTATAAAAGGGTAGAAGTGGAGGAGACAGTTACGACACGGTCACTGCCCACGTCGATCTCGTTGTTCGTCAATCGAGTGCTGATTCGCAGTGAAACCCAGACAGCCACAAGTCAACCTCGAGGTGGACTCAGCAGGACAGATTCTCAGAGTTTTGTGTAGGTGTGGGTTTCCTGGAGATGGGAGAAGAATCTCGCCAACCAGGGTAAACCTGTTCTCCTGGGATATCCTGCTGGCATGTACAATACATAGCCCTTGCGAAAGAGCACACATAGTTCGTTGATATAGAAATGGCATTCACACCAAATGACTGTCGTGATTGGACGGAATGTGCGGAGAAAAGAGCTCGCAGTCTCGTTGACATGTACATCCCAAATCCTCATTTCTGATCCAATTCACACTGTACTTTCATCCATTTTGCTTGCCTTTCCTTTCTGTTTGGTTAGATTCTGTCGTGCACTTTTGCGTCTCTCCCAGCCTCCAAGATGAGCAGCTCCAGCTCCCAGCTCTGGACCTGTGCCCGCTGTCTCCGGGCCCAGAGGCTGCGGGGTCCCTCACTCGACTGTGGTAGTAGCAGCTCGATCCCTCGTCGTCCCCGTCGCCACCCTTTCAGCACCACAGCGATCCGGCACGATGATGGACCTGCAGACCCAAAGGCCGAGGTCTCGCACACGACCAAGAGCGCCAACGCCCAGGATGGCGAAGAGCAACAGGGGGCCATATCGCGCAGGCTGGCCGAGATGGCGGAGGAGACCATGGACACGGGCAGCAAGAGTGACCGCCGATTGATGCAGGATGCCGGGTTCTCGGAAGAGCTGAAGAAGGAGTTGGAAGAGAGGATCGCGCAGACGAGCTTTGCGGCGCAGAATCAGCAGGCCGCGAGCCAAGTCACGATGCCTGTACGAAGAAAAGCCCCCCACCCCTCCCCCTCTGTTATTCCTCCCGTCATGGCAAGAGCAGCGGCAGAAGAACCATAACAAGGGACTAATACATCTATATGGTTGACAGAATGCTGCCGGAAAAGGCACGCGCGACATCGCGGGCGCAGAACCCTGGCGAGGCACCGAGACCACGCACGACTCGGTGCTCCGCATGCTCGACGACAGCCACAAGAAACTGCGTTCGCCGTCGCGGGGGCCCTCGGTGCCTCCGAAGATCAACCTGCGGCCGGCGCCCAAGAAGAACATCTCGGCGGCGGACCGGCTGGCGCGGGCACGGGACAAGACGTCGATCTACGCGATCAGCCAGCAGAGCGACATGACGGAGCAGGAGCGGGCCAAGTGGCGCCGGGAGCTCAAGGACCGGTTCTCTCCCGGGGCGCGGCCGATGCCGACGAGCATCACGGGGCTGACGAGCCTGGCGAACGAGCGGATCGAGGACGCGATCGCGCGGGGCCAGTTCAAGAACATCAGCCGCGGCAAGGGCATCAACGTGGAGCGCGACTACAATGCCAACTCGCCCTTCCTGGACACGACCGAGTACTTTATGAACAAGATCATCCAGAAGCAGGAGATCGTGCCGCCCTGGATCGAGAAGCAGCAGGAGCTGGTCAAGGCCGTCGCCACCTTCCGCGGCCGCCTGCGCAACGACTGGCGCCGCCACGCCGCCCGCATGATCTCCAGCCGCGGCGGCTCGGTCGACGACCAGGTGCGCCGGGCCCGGGGGTACGCGCTGGCGGAGGAGAGGGTGAATCCTCGCCCGGCGCGCCGGGTCGAGAATCTGAGCAGCATTGCGAGCGACGGCAGCTTGACGACCGTGAGTGTCGAGGAGAGGATCGCCGCCGGCGTGCCCGGGGAGTCTGGTGAGACGACCGAGCCGCGAGAGGAGCAGGTTGAGATCGAAGTCAGCGAGCAGCCGGCGGAGAATGTGCCCATCGCTGGCCCCAGCACGGATGCGCCGCCCCCAGCAGCAGCAGCAGCAGCAGCAGCAGCAGCAGCAGCTTCTGCAGACATCATATCTACTTTATCCGAGCCGGCGCCCATACCCACATCCACCTCCCCTTCCTCTTCCCAATCACCGTCCTCCTCCCCATCCTCCGCCTCTCCCTCGTCATCCCCCTCCCCCTCCCCCGGCCAGGTCCTCCCGATGCCGCACCCATTCCGCGACGCGACATGGGAGAAGGCCGAACTGGCCTACCACACGCTGGCGGTGGCGAACCTGAACGCCCTGACGCGCTCGTACAACCTGATGGCGCCCAAGATCGCCCAGAAGCCGTACTTCACGCTGGAGCGCGAGCTGCGGCGGTGCTTCGCGGACGTGGCGCCGCAGCTGGCCGACGCGATCCGGGAGCGCAGCACGCGGCCCCCGGTAGCCAAGATCCGCGTCGTGCGCCCCCAGAGGGAAGGCGGCGTGCTCGAGCGGCTCGGCGGCGACGAGTGGACGGGCCACGAGGGCACGATCCGCGACGAGAGCGGGGACAAGAGCTACGGCTTCAAGCAGTTCTGGCGCGACCTGTTTGGCGGCGAGAAGACGGGTGGGAGGGAGAGGCGGCGTGTCGCGTGAGGCCGTGGTGGAGAGGAGGTGTTAGCTGCGTGCATGGTCTTGATAGGGGAGGAATCTCTTGGTGAGGCATAGGTAGCCTCATGGTCACCTCTAGATACATGCAACTGATACATATACACATGTACAGACCAAGAAGTCGATGAGAATTCGTCATAGGCGGGGGACGGAAGATGTAATGCACCCCGTACCGTGTAGAATATATAGCAAGGAGGGGATGGATGGTTGGTGTTAGTATAGATAGATAGACACACACCCCTCAGAGGCCAGGACGAGAACTCATGAATGACGAACACAGTGATGACAACAAAATAGACAGTGCCACAGTCCTTCGACGCCTCCTCTAATAATTACGCCCCCGCGATATACATATACCAAGCTACAGCTCCAGTAATGCGAGGTCCGTACACTTCTTGAGTAACTGATTGATTTGAGCGATTGATTGCGAGAGTCGAGTTATGCTGCTTGCTCTTCGACTCGGACACAGTACAGACCTCGATACATACATACGTCCACCCTCTCCTAACAGCGCCCCATTCATTTCTGGTGATGCCGCAAACCACAGGCATGAGGCCAGGAGGCGTCATCGTAACAACGCCCTGCACGGCTCCTCGCCCACGCCTCTCCCACACCCAGCTGGCCCAAGCAAGTCCGTCATGCAGCTCAAAGTGCAAAATCCAAGTGGTCTATCTCATCCGTGATATATGCTCATGGCCAAATCGTAATCATTGTGTCTTCTCATTCAAACCCTCCCATTGGAGAGCAATGCAAGCACAGCAGGTGTTTTCAACGCGCAAAGCAAAGCCCTGGTCATGCCCGAGCTGGGGCAGGAAATCCAAAAGGAATAGCACCGTTCATCAAGAACCATCATCCTCACCCAACCTGTTCAAAACAGCGGGACCTCATCCAGTTTCAGGCCTCGCTTGCGAAGTCGACCGCGAAGGACATCTTCATCTGCGTCCAGCCAGTTCTCACCCTCGAAATCGTCCTCCACTTCCTGCTTCACCCGTGGTGGGCGAGCAGATTCGACCTTTTCTCGCTTGACACAAAAGTGACCGACATCTTCGATCGACGGGATGGCCACATCTGAGGCGATGCGAGATCGATAGTCGTGGCCCTGAACGTGCTGCGAGTTGGCATATGAAGACGCCATAGACATAGCGGGGTTGTAGTAATATCCGAAGCCCAGCTGGTGGTGCTGGCGCCGTTTACTTGCGTTCTAAGCAGTGGCAGCGACGTCGTTGAGCTGCTTGATCCACGAATCGGGGCTTTGTCCCACTCCGTCAAGCTTCATTATTTCTTCCGTCGCAGCGGCCCGGTCTCCGTCACCCCCATCTTGCGCTTGCGGTCCCGCGTTGTCTTTGGCAGGCAAGTGATTCTCCTTTTCTTCTCCCTCATGCAAACGATCCGGAAGACCCTTACTGCTCCAGGTTCTCTCCTCTGTCCTCGCAGCGGTCTTTCCACCACCCACTTGTGGCTCTTTTCTGCGGCGACTTAATTTGGCTAATCTCTCTTTCTCCTTAGCCTGGGCCAGGGCGATTTTTGCCTGCATAAGTTCGAGCCCACGTTTGCGATCGGCCAATTCCTCCCGCAATCGCTTGCGTCTCTCCTCGCCCGTTCGCCCAAGGCGCCGGCTCATCACGCCGTCATCGATGAATTGAGTTTTGAGAACCATAAAACTCACACCATCATGCGGTGCTGGGTGTTCTGCCGAGTTGTCCGCACCAAGTTCAGGCCAACTGCGACTCTTGATCCCAAAGCGGACACTGTCGGCGTAACTTTCCAACTGTGGCAGCACAACCAGAGTGATGTGAAGATCCTTGCCCTCTGGGACGAGAGCTGGCGTATCCGGCGCCGATAGACCTTCGATTCTGGGATTCTGCTCGTCAATGAGCCTCTTCAGAAGAGCATCTTCAACGTGGGCAGACTGAATGAACCCAGAATGCATTGCAGCTGCCACTGGGTCAGAGTCATCCGTATAGATACCTGACCCCCAGAGGTATTGTTCGCAGCCGATGAGATTCCGTTCTTTTTGTTGAAGCCACAGGCTCGACACCTTGACGGTATAAGTGCAGTTGATGTGATCTGGATCCTTGAAGGAAGGCAGGAGATTGGGCCGGATTGAAACGTCGAATTTCTGCGGCTGCGCCCGGTCGAAGTCGGGCACACCCACGACGGGTTCATATTTGAAGAACCCAAGATGTCGACGCGGGTTTCGTCGCGCCTGCGCCACGACCGAGGATATTCTGATCACCTTCTTGGGTTTGAATGTAGCAGCTCGTCCTGCCGCCGACGACGGACGCGGAATCTGCGGATGGTGAAGCAGTTGCGCAGGATTGGACGTCGGGGTCTCTCCTCGTCGAACAGGATTTGAGGTGGAAAATGCCCCGTTCTTTCGCTGTCCCAGCGGGGTGTCCTCAAGGTCCAATTTGTAGGAATGCGAGTATTTGCTTCTCTTGCCCCGCCCTTGGCCCGGCTTCTTCACCTCACCCACATCGCTTTCCGCTCTAACATCCTCATCCAGAGCCTTCCGGTTGCGTTTACTGATCCCCGAGGTGCTTCGAGACATCTTCATCAGATTCTCCTCACTCAGGCGAGCACCGCCTTCATCCCGCTTGAACGGGCTGGCAGGTAAATTCTGCGGTGTGGGAGTGGGAGCAGCAGATGTAGAACCCAGGCCACTCCCAATACCAGCAAAAACTCGGCCGTGCTCGGTCTTGATGCCAGCATCCGGTACTGGGGTCTGGGCCTGTGCACCTTGCACCGCTTGGGGTACGGGTGAATATCTTCCACGTTTCGATTCGTTGGCCAAACCGAGAATGGCTCTATGTTGCGATAGTTCTTCGCTGCCTTTCCGGACTTGTTCTTCCAAAGGCCCCGACGCGACAGACCCTGCAAAAGGAGAGTAGGCTCGGTTAGTGCGCAAGCGATCGCCAAGGACGGAGCGGTCGCTTAGTGACTGAACAGAGTCTTGTCGCATCATGGTTGGCGCGCCGTAGATCGGCTCCCCTTGTTGATTGAGGATTCCTGCCAGTCGACCCTCGCCGCCGTTTAGATGAGTGCGTCTCATTTCTGGGGAGAGGGATTGAGCGGCCGGCCGTTCATGGGGAATAGACACGGGCTGTGGTGGAGGTCCCGCCTGTGAAAGACGAGACAAAGTCGGCAAGCTGGGTGGACGAGTGTCGTAGGGCCCAGTCAGCCCGTTTGAACGTGGAGGATCGTGACCGCTCATTGGTTGACCCCCCGCCCGGTCGATCGGCGGCAGAGAGGGAGGTATACTCTCTGGTCGAGCTGGTGGATGTGACGTGGGCGGGAATGGCGGCGAGATGTTGGTCGGCGGGGGCTGACTTTCTGGTCGCTGCAGAATGCCACCGAGACTGGTGCGACGGGCGCGGTCATCAAATTCATCCTTGGGCATTACCGTAGGACCGAAAGGAGGCGTATATCTTGGTTCCGGATACGGGTTCATATTTGACTGGACTGGTCCCGATCGCGGAGGTTCGTAAAATGGCCCTGGTCGCTGGGTCATGGTTCCGGAACTTGAACGATGCGGTCTTGCCCCGAGCGCTGTGCCTGCCATCCTGTCAGGAGTCTTTGATCTTGGCTTGTACGAGTATTCACCCGGGCCCTGTTTGGTTGGGTACTGGGGCGGTGACATGACTGCGCCCAGCGACATGGAGGGTCCTGGATGCGAGAGCTGGCCAGAAGGTGGTCTGGACGGCTGGGCATGGCTGTGATATTGTTCATGGGCCGGCTTTTCTGGTTCGGAACCCAACATCGACGATATCGACATGCTACTTCCTGGCCTCTTATGGGGAAGTGGAGCTCCATTGTTGACGGTCATCGCAGCAGAGTTCGCTGTCAAAGGCGGTTGAGAATATCGTGGAGGAGGGTAATGCTGTGGAGACGGCGGCAGCATGGTGCGAGGAAGGCCGTACATTGCTGGAGGTTGCGGAGGTTCGGAGTAGCCTAGACAGAGAGGTCAGACAAGGTGGCGGCATAGAAGTCCACGTGTGAAGAGAAGAGTGAAGTGTGGGAGAGTGAAAGCGTGGAGGAATGAGTCGTCGCATGATCACCCACAACATAGCGCTCCCTGATTATGGCAGGGGAAATGATTCGGGAAGGAGTCAAGACATACCAGTGAATGACCGAGGAGGACTCGAAGGTCCGTTGAATGCGGGTGAGTGGCCTGGCATTGCCATGGTGGCCGGGTTGTGAGGTTGAGAGCGTCCTTGTAGAGGTGAAGGATGGTGGACTGCTGGGTGGTGATCAACAGGGAGGAGACGCTGGTGTAGCAAATAATGATGCGGAGGCTGCGCAGAATTCGATGTGGAGACCGCCGCGACTGGAGCCGGAAAAAAAGGAACCAGACGTTAGCGAAGCATGCAAAGGGTGCCTGTGGCGGCAGCGGGAAGCATAGCACAAGAATGGGCTGGTTATGGTGTGGAGGCGGAAAGGAGACGGAGTGGAGGATAGTGCATCTTGCGCTGTGAAGATTGTAAGGGCGGAAGATGAGAATGAATGGTGAGGACGAGGACGATGAGGATGAGGATGAGGATGGAGATGGAGATGGAAAGAATCATGCGCAAATGTGATGGTGTGGATGCGGTGTCGCCAGCGAGTTTGGGGTGGATCTGGGTGCAAAGGTGGAACGCCCAGAGAACAGCGCGCCGCCCCCCGACGAGCTTTCCGGGGCAAGCAGCAGCCCAGCAGCAGCCCAGCAGCAGCTCAGCAGCAAGCAGCAAGCAAGGAACCAGCAGACCCTGAGCGAGCTAGCTTAGGTATAGGTACCAAGGTACCCCATTAGGGGGGGGGGTTCCATGCCCGTACCCAGGCCCATGCACCCGCCCTTTGGGGGAGCAGGTGGTCCCAGGTACCTAGCTCGGCAGGTCAGGTAGGTCAGGTAGGTACCCAGCTCGTCAGTGTCAGTAGCGGGTGGAGCCAGGCGACAACTGACGGGGGTTGTCATCCACACCCCCCTCGCCCGCCCCTAGACCCAGTCCAACAAGGGTGCCGTTCGAGAGGCCGGTTCATCCACCCAAAACAGGGATCCCGTGTGCCAGATCAGAAAAGGCGCAGCTGCAGCCTGCAGGTGGCCTGCCCTTGAAGGGCCATGATCGTTTGGCGTCCCAAGGGCTCAAGGGGCGTGCCGGCGAGTGGATGCGCCTCCTCGTTAGCTAAAGGGACGCCTGCCCAACCCAAGGAAGGCCACGCAAAGTCTATCTCGCCCATGACGTCGCGTTCTTCTCAAGGGTTCTGGGCCCTGACCAGGGTCCCTGTGGCCGATGCGGTACGCGGGCGAAGGCGACATCCTCGCGTCGGAAGACGGTGTAGGTAGGTAGGTACGTAGGTAGGTAGGCAGAGCTGATCATCAACCTGGCGATAATCATCAAGATGCGTCTATACCCCCGGACATGACGCGCCGGTGCTGATTGTCTGGTCCTTGCTGATGCTGCTGCTGCTGCTGCTATCTCTTCTGCGTCTGGCCAGGCTTCTGCCGCTGCGCTGCTCGTGGCTGTTTCTGTCGGTTGCATGACATGTCCAGCATCTGCACGCTGACAAAACTAGGGGCACTTGCGGGAACGTGCATGCAATGGCGCGCATTGGGTTGGACAAACCCCCAGAGTAAATATATCTCCGCTCTCATTGGTACGGCTTCGAGGCCTTGCTCGCTGACAATCTCACAAAGCACAGCATTTGCGTATTCACTCACACACAAAACACACACACGTACCTGGTCCTGTGGCATCATCCTCATAATCAGCCTGAGCCTCGAATCGGCGGCTTTCTGTTGGCAGTCCCCTTCCCCCGAACCACCCTTCTCTCGATGGTCCGTGGTGCTGACGCTGAGGCTGTGGTTGCAATACTCGCGTGTCATCAAGTCCGCCATTGTCTGGTGTCCGAGACGGATCTCTTTCGTCGTGGAAGGGAGGGTTGCGTCCGCTCTCAGAACTCGGTCGGCCGTAGCGTGCCGTCCTCAACAGTCGGTCTCGTGGGCCGCGGTTGGAATCCATCTCTTTGCTCGCGTCAAGGTGCCTGGCTCCCCGATCTCAGTAGGCGGCGATCGCCCGGACTTGATTCGTTGAAGATGGCGCCCTGGTTCGCAATGTGCTGTAGATCCCAAGCTTGGTGGTTTTGTTTGCTTCTGCAACCTGCAACCTGCCCTCTCCGTTGCCCAATGTACTGTCGATTCAATGGCTTTTCTTCTGTCCATGTGCCTTTGGTCGGTGCCTTGGTTCAAGCGATTGGGTCCTACCGATCGGCGGTGAACGCGGCCAATGCTGGGCTGCGTACCGTGTAGAGTTCTGCTCAAATAGGGTCTAAATCCTCAGCCTCACCGCTCTCTGTAAGAAAGGATCGAGGGCAGGCAGCAAGAGACAACGAACGGAGGAGCAGTAAATCCTAATATCAAGCTCGAGAAAAAAACTTTGGCAAGGCTGGAGAAGAAGCTTTGTTCCTGTTTTCCACTACTGCGGCTCGGCATGCCGACAAGCTCGTACCTCGAGTTAGTTGAACCTTGCAGAACGCATGGAGTCCGGAGCAGTAGTGGGCGATGCTGTTGAAACTGCGTGCTGGGTGGAGAGGAGTGTGATGGTGACACCTCGGGGTGGTTTCTGGTTGCTTCCGTCCATAGAACAAATGGCAGATGCTCATCATCCCAGGGAGATGTGCCTGCGCCTCCGTCGTCTCTATATCTTGTCCACTCCCCCCCCTTCGCTAGCCGTTACACATTGTTTGCTCCTTTCTCTTGCACCTGTCCGAATCTAGGTTTCTGACTACCGACGTACGGTTCGACCATGTTTCCGGCACGGAACATTGCTCCATTGCGCCTTGAGTGGCTCTCCGCGCTATCGATTGTGTGCAGATATGGCGCTTTTCTTACTTCCGAATCCCAAAGCATTCAAGAGGGACTTTACCCAGTAGGATGGCTGATTCTTGTGATTTGCATGTCTGGTCTACATCTCCTAGAGATTGCAGTACACTTATCATACAGCCTGCGGTACCTTATTCATGTTGAGACAGCCTCACCGACGAGTAGCGTACAAGGTACTCGCCCACCCATAAAGGACAAAATAAAACCTCCTCATAAAACACCCTTTCTGACTTGCGTCACAGCTTCGTACAATAGTCTTTCCCATGCCGAACCTGCCAACTGCATAACCAAACTTCAAACGCCATGCCGATAAAGCCGGCGATACAAATTCCGCCCGAATCGCTCACTGTGGTCGCTGATAGCGAAAATTCGCGGTCCTCTTTAGGCACCGTTTCGCTGATCTCGGCAAACGTGTTAACGTAGACGAGGCCGCCCAGTAAGCCTTCCCAGAAAATGATGGCAAAGACAATGTACACATTGGGGATGAAGTCGAACAGCGCATGTAGCGTCAAGACGACCAAATTTACCACTTGCAGCAGGGACGGCAAGTATAAATTGTGGATACGGAGAAACGGCGTTGACGACCGAGAGATGAATACCCCTGCTTGGTATGTCGCATTGTAGGTCGGGTAGAATGCTCGGAAGTGCTTGAAGGGGCTTCTCTGAAGCGGGAACAGCAGGGTCGGCGCCACGCCTTGGTTGATGGTATATTCGGCCACGTATACCATAAGTAGTGGTAGCATGTAAGGAAAGAAAAGCCCTTTAGCCCGGGTCAAGTTGTATCTAAACAACGACCAAGTCGACATCCTGGATTTCAAGGAAAAGGGGGGCTTCACTGCATCTGGCGAAGCAAGAAGTCCCTCTCTTTGCTCTTGCTCGACACTGTCGTCATCTTGAAGTAGTGCATTGCCGCCGTGATGTCTCTTGGAATGTGAACGTAGGGGCTCCAAGGGGAGGACAAGGAAGAAGCTGACCAGCATGATGGCGGGCAGGCAGGCAGAAGCCAGTAATGTTGTGCCGACGCTCAGGCCCATCGTCGTGGTCGCAAGTGCGTATGCCCCAGCTCCTATTAATCCAGCACCTCCAGTGCCACTCCCCCATGCTGCAAGGCCGAAAGGACCATAGTAATGGATGAGACCCAGGAAACTCAATTCTCCTCCGCCGCTGCTCAGTGATGCCAGAATCACCCCGGCCAGCTTGGTAGTGATTGTTCCCCCATCTGTGTAAGCCGGTGTGAGGGCGATCAGCAGCATGCCACCCACGGACAGCACCACGAAGACTAGGATTCGGATAGAGTAGGGGACGACATGGATGAAGTACGGAGCGCACAATTTGACCCCGAACGAGGGGATCACATCAGCGAGCAGGACAACTCCTTTGGGGACGTTGGGACCGACGAGGTCAAGCGCAGCGGAGAGGATGATCACATAGAGGACATTGTTGATCAGGCCTGCGCATCGTGAATCTCAGCATGCGAATCCATTTCATACTTCGCACTTTGTGCAGGGATCAGGTACGTGAAATGGAAGTGTTGCTGCCAAACAGGCACTGGAGACTTACCAAAGAGCCAGAAAGCGACACAGACTCGAGGGTCTGCGCCGCTGAAGCTCTGCTTGAGCCTTTCAAGAAAGATAGCCCTGGACGACGACGGGGAGCCTGGGAGAGGCAGTGCCATCTAGCCTGGACAGTGATGACTATTCCGCCATAGACACAGGTTGTCTGGGGGTATGGACAGGATCGATGGAATATAGGGGCGACTGACAACGCCGCTCGAGATAAGACGTGGTCTTCTGAAGGAGCATATCGAGCCTGGTGACATGCGCCGCAGCCCGATCATAAGGATCACATGCCGCTCTATGATCATTCCCCGCGCAAAGTTGAAGGAGCCACATTCCGGCTTGCCGCTTTATGCTTTCCGACAAGGCACTTGCAAGGCTGAGTCTGCTCGGCATAATCTCGGCTCAGCCTCGAAGAACCTCACTCCGCCATGGGCAAATTTGGTCTAGCAAGTGGGTAATCGTTGTGACCGGCATCTCGTGGAAGACCTTCTTCTCGTGCCAGGCATACATTTCATATACTAATTGACATGATGGAGGTAACAGACTCCACACCAATCGAAGGCACGAAAGAAAATTTGAATGGAGGGAAAAGAAGGAGAATTTGCGCGACTTGCTAACGTAGCGAAATAAAATAGCCCACAAACTATCTCCCAAGCTCACCGCCACTTTCTCATTGACATCAAGATCAAGCCAGGATATTGTATCGGTGACTGACATGGCTATAGTTATACTACGCCCCGTTTGACTTCACCGCCTCGGACTTCCCCAAAGCAGCGGCAGCAGCTTCGCGACCAGCAATACGGCCAAAGACGGCGCCCTTGGTCAATCCGGACCCCCCCGGGTAGTTGTGATAGAAGAGACCACCAGCAATTTCACCCGTGGCCCACAAGCCAGGCATGGGTCGTCCCTCGTTGTTCAATACACGGGCCTCGGTGTCCGTGGCGATGCCCCCATATGTGAATGTGATACCACAAGCCACTGCGTAGGCGACGAAGGGGGCCTTCTCGATCCTCGTGGCCCAATTGGTCTTGGGAAAGGGAAGATTTGCCGCGAGAGCCGTGCTCAGCCCGTCCAGCTTTGTAGGGTTGAACTTGGCAACCTCGCCGGAGCAGGCGGCGTTGAAGGTCTCGACCGTCTTGAGCAGGCCCGCGGCATTGACGCCTGTCTTCTGCGCGAGCTCCTGGATGGTGTCGGCGTAGATGGGCGTCGCGGTCTGGTATCGCTTGGGCAGGAGGTGGACGGTCTGCTGGTCGAAGATCTGGAACGCTCGGGCTTCAGGCTGATCCGCAATCTTTTTGCCTGTCTTTGCGTACGTCTTGCCAAAGTCATCCTCCCCTTCGTCGAAGAATCGCTCGCCCCTGATGTTGACGGTGATGCCGTACGGATACGCGTACCGTGGCATGTGCACGGAGACATTGATGTCGCCCGTCAGAGGCCCGTCGGCGTCTTGGGGGGATGCGTGGGCGGCCCCCCAGTGGCCAACCGGACGAGCACCCGCGGCGACGGCGCGGTTGAGCATGGTGCCCATGTTGTATTTGGTTCCACGCACGAGAACCAGGTCCCAGCCTTCTCCGAGGTATTGGCGGCGCATGGCTGGGTTGGATGAAAAGCCACCGCTGGCGAGCACGACCTTGCCGTAGACGTCCGTGAATCCCTCGCGGTGCCGGACCTTGACCCCGTGCACTGTGTCTCCGGTCGTGATGAGGTCGTGGGCCGGGCTGTCGTACCAGAGAGTCATTCTGCCTCCAGGCACGAGGCTCTCAACTGCGGTCCACCACGCATCTGTGAGCCCTACGCCGCCACCAACAGCCATGACCGCGGCGCCGGCGTTGATGTTGATAATCTCCCCTCGGGCAGCCAGGTTATCCACGTTGTGATACTTCCGAATCATCAACTCCCACTTGTGTCCCTTGGACTTCATCCACTCCAGCGTCTCCCAGCCCTGCTTGACCAGAACGTCCGCGATGTCCTTGTCCAATCGGCCGTGGGAAGTCTTGGAAAGATCCCTGAAGTACATCTCTTCCGTGTAGGGGCCAATGGTGCAGAGCTTCGTGTCGTCCATGGCCTCTTCACATAGCAAGGTCTTGATATGTTCCATCCCCTTGTGCGGAGCCCGGAAGACCGTGCCTGCAAAGCGACTGTTGCCGGCACGTTCTTCCTTGGGGGCGGCTTCTAGAACAAGCACACGAGCGCCGTTGTCGTGTGCTGAGATCGCCGCTGCAAGGGCGGCATTGCCGCCTCCCACGACGATGACATCGAAGGTCTGAGCAGAACCTTGAATGTTTGCGGGTGTCGCTGCGCTTCCCATGATGAAATCAATTACAGTACTCTTGAGAAGATTGTGCAAACGGTTTAATGTTATATTGCGTTGCTGGATTGTGAACGGTCTTGATCACGTCGCTCGACTTGGGGAAGAGCGTTGGCCTCTTTTCATGAAAATCCTGGCGTATTGCCTACGTTGCAAGTCTTGTATATGGCTCAACCAGTCTATTCGGTCCGCTTTGCCTCCGGAGGAATGCCAAAATGCATATGCAAGCTCCAGGTGGAACCAACTGCTGAAGGGACCAACTTCACTAGACAGCACAACAATTGGTGTCCTGCTTGTAGGCATAAACCGACTGGCTCTGGGCCTTCACTCCCACATTGTCACCATTCCTGGCCTGGCTCCCCTTGTTCTATTGAAGGCGTATCAGTGAGCGGGGTATCCAGGTGGAGAAGCAGTGGTATAAAGATCCGGAGCGCTTGCGAAGGCTCCGGCCGCAATGCGGCCTGGGTTTGAACCGATTTTTCACAGCATACAGAGCCGTTACTCGGCCCGCTACCGGACTATATAGCATTGGTGAATCCTACTACCATGTGTAGCCACTTGGTAGATGTATTTATTGACGGTGGCAAACGATCTTTTGCTCACAGACGAGAGGAACTAAGAGAGTCTGGGCTCGTCTGGTATTGAATCCCAAACACTGTGTCTATTCGATGGAGGACGGGAAGAAGAAGGTTCCACTAACCTGCTGGTTGGAATTGAATCACCAAGCAGGGACAAATGCCCTTGGTGCAAAGCATCGGAACCAGCAAAAACTATATTCTGAAACCACGAGGGCGGCTTGTGCATAATCCATCCTCTCGTCTATGCTCGGATACCGAGCTTGCAATGGCTACAAAGGATGGTCCAACTTCCTCAAAGAAGATCCATCTCTATTCAAGCTTGGTACATAGAAAGGGGGATGTCGTCATTCAGGAGGCTCCTGTTCGCGCTGGGTGTTGAAGATGTAGTCCGAATGCAGTTCCATGTCGTCCAGGTCTGTAGCCATCAAAGTCGAGATTCCGCTTTGGTTCCAAAACCACTGATTATTATTCTCATCAACTAACCCCATGTCCATCTCTCCAATTTCTTCGAGCCACATTGACGTGGAACGGGATAGCATCGGGGCGTTTGGTCCTTTAGGGCCTGTATCGATCTGAGCAATGGAAGGGTCCGGGTTGAGGCTTGGTTCCCCGGGTCTTTGAGCGCAGATGGCTTGAGTGTTGATGTCCAACGAGGCATCCGATGAAGTGTTCCCATTCTCGCACTGAGTGGCTGTGGCGGTTCTAGCACAAGGCTGTCCTCCAAAATTTTCTCTCCATTTCCAGAGGGTATCATGGAGCAGGCTAGCTCCCAGGCGACTTCTCACCCTGAGCTCTGGTTGCAGGGTATTGGGTTCCGCCGTGGCCCCCCAAAGTTGTGCAAGGATCTTTGAATATCTTCCTGGTAGATCGTTGTCTTCAATGGAGCACTTCCTGACCTGGCTTATACCGAGATTGAATGCTTTGCGTCCCTCGTCCACGTCAACGAACTGCGGATAGAAGCCACTGCGAAGGACTTTCAAGGCAAAATTACAAGCAACAGATAGTGCATGGGTGAAAATTTTTGGACCGCAGGTCAATAGCCTAGAATGCGCTTCTCTCTCCTGGCACTTCCAAATGATGTTCAGCGCTGCACGATATGCTTTGAGGATATATTCTTTCTGTGCTGCTTGGTGAGAACGCTCTAGGAAATAGTAGCTCCGGAGCTGAAGTGTAGCATAAAGAAACACGATTTCGTTCGTTTCTGTGTCTAGATTAGGCTCCTGAATGAGAGTGCGTCCGGGCTGGAGCTGTAACTCACTGGACAAGTCTGGTCCAAGCACCCACCGGAGGTCTTTCAGTTCGGACTCATATAGAGGCAGCAGGACTCCGCTATCATTCTCTCCAAGACTGGCCATCCGTCTTTCTCGGCTCGCCATCACTCTGTGAAAGCGATTGCAAAACCGTGTTATAAGAACCATATGGTAAATCTCCAGAGGGAGATTACCGTGGTTGTCGGAAGTGCAGATCATATCGAGTGTAGCGTCGGTGACAAACAAAGGAAACTGTCCAATGTAAGATGTTATGCTAGAGACACTGTTAGATATATGATATATCAGGACAAAGACATAACCAGTACTTTTCCGCCGCAATGAAGCATGCTGACCACACCAGCAGGGCGTCCCTCAGCTCCTCGGGACTAAATCGAAATTTGACTCGTGAGAAGTCTTGGACAAAATATGGTTTGTGTAGTCCAATGTGCATTGCACTGGTCTTCGCAACTGATGCCAGAATGTAAGATGGATCGGTGCTCATGGAAGAAGTGGGGAATGGCCAGAGACAGAGTAAGATCATGGCCTTCAGCTCAAGGCGAGAATGCGGAACTTTGGGCACTGTCAGCCACAGCAGGTCTTGCACAGCTTGCGAAAGACTGGTGAGCATAGTAGGTTCTTCCTCATCTCTTCTGGATGCAATGGCAATAATAGTCCAGAAAAGTAGTGGACATTTTGTATAATAATCATCAGGTGAGCCATCTGTCTCGACGAAGGGCATGAATGGGTGGTACTGGGAAAAGAAACTGTATTCACCCATGAGCGGCTGTGTTGTTCATACGGTCTGTACTTACGTCTGAAACAGCCTGTCTATCTGAGAAGATGTGAGAGTCACGTTGCCGAGTGTCTGCGAGTTGACTGCTGGGAGCAGCTGTACTTGAGCAGGAGCTTGTGGTTCGCGAAAGTGCGCGTCCGTCAAGAGTGGTGAGGAGTTCGAGTCTACCTGGCCACTTCGAGTTCTATAGGAGGCTGGAACCGGGCAATCTGTTTTCTCATGGTCCAGCGGCGAGTAGGAATCGTCTAAGGCCGGCGGGGATATATTCGCGACGTGAGGCTGGGCTGCTCGGAG